AGCCATAGCTTTGTGGGCCTACACAGGTGATCAAAACAAAGTCGTGACACAGCATGGACACATTCCGACCCGCAGACTTCGAATGATTGTAAACATTTAATATTTTTCGATCCTAAAAAGCTCCTGCTGTAGATTTAGATGCAGTTATCAACGCGTGACCACGACTCCTTTACGATTCGGTGGAAGATATACGAAATTCATGCGAGCGAGAGCTGCACACTGTGACGTCAGATTCGGTGAAAGATATACGAAATTCTAGCGAACGAGAGCCGCACATTGTGACGTCAGAATGTCACCAAACTGATTCGGCTTTTGTCGTTTTTTCCTCGGAAAGGTGCAACTTTAAAGCCTTATAACTTCTAAACTAATTGGAATTTTGCAAAAACAACGACTTTGCCATAACACGCGCACCAGATGCTAACTTTTTAGTCAATAAAAAAAATTTTTTTTTGGCTGGAGAGGCCCTTTAAAAACGTGATTATAGTAAATGTCTTGTCAAAAGTCAGCAGGAGAAATAATTTATGCGATGAAAATATTGAAATACCAATAAGAAACAAAACAATTTCAGGTAATGAAAAATAACAAAAAGGTTCATTATCAGTGCATTTGCTCAAAGTCATTCATTCTGGCAAAAGTGTCGCTTTGCGAAGGAATATAGGCCAACGCCACAAATTTCAAAGTGGAGAGGAGAGAAATTTATGAATCGATCATAAATTCAATTGTTTTTTAAAATCTTCGATATTTCTAGGTCAGCAAAAAGGGAAGCCGGAGGTATAATACGAGGTTTAAGTATATTGTGTTCTGCACCACTAAACCTCAGACATTTCGCAGCACTTTTCACTGTTTCGGTTCTCTGTTTATTCAAGAGGTATTTTTTACGTGGAATGTCAAGCAATAGTCAAATATTCTAAGTGACAAAGAGAGACAAAATAATATGCGCCAGAGGTTTGTTTACCGTATACGTATTTTGAATCAGGGGCGGATACAGAGCAAACTTGAACGAGGGGCAGTTGGTAGTGGGGGCGCTGAAATTCTTTAAAAATTGGCGACGAGAGTACGCTGAATACACCAATTTCAGATCCATGTTAAGAATAAACAACATAATTTTAAAGGTAATCCTTGAAGCAAATTAACCTATTCGTCTCACCTGATCACCAAAACTTGTTCACCTGATTCTACTTCTTCAAAACGGACGAAAAATTTTCAAAAAGGGGCGCCAGACTCGCTTCAACTCGTCCAGGGAGAGGCAACTGCCCCCCCCCCTTAATCCGTCACTGCTTAGAATGCTTTCGTTAGGATTGGTGCATTGAATAGTCCTTTACCTTGTATTGGAAAGTGCTGTTTAATGTTTTTTCTACTCTAATCCAAATAATATAATACAAATTGTGAAGATTGAAACGGACGTTTCACACAGTTAACTTGAATAGATCATTTAAAAGGAAACCACTGGTCTTTGCGAACATAATGTTTTTATGTGACACGTTACTTGAAGAATTTTTGTTTCTAATGCAAACTAATGCAAACAAACCTTTATCGTGAAAAATTTACGGGGATCTCCTTAGGGGACTCTTTGGAGTTGCTCGAACTCCAACCTACGTCGGTTGCGCCACTGGTCAGTGTCACTTGACAGGCAACAAAAGCTACCGTTACATACAGAAAAGTCTTCCAAACAGATTTTGCCTCTTTTACAAAATGAAGAAACTGTGTCGCAGCCAGTAAACGCGTACCAAAATAAGAGGCCAAAGAAAAACCTTTTCGTCTAGTAGGTAATCGTGGATTGGTAACAATATTTTGTCTTTTTTTGTCCAAAACTCGTTCCAAAGCTGTAATCAAATGAGCTGACAAAACAATGCAATTGCTTTTATGATAATATCAGTTTCAACCGTATTGGCCCCAACTCTTCAATGTACTCTTCACGTTGTTACAGAGCTTTTAGGGCGTTTTGGGGGCATTATGTCAAAAAAGATATAGGAGCAGACCAAGAAGGGAATGGATAAGAGCTCCCTAGTCTGAAAAAAGCTCTTAAAGGTGCTCTTGAGATGGGGTCTGCATCTCATATTATTCAGTATGTCAAATTACGCCAGAATAATAAGTTTCGTGTTTAAAACTTGTATAGTTTGAACGATGGCGAGGAAGACCCGAAGGAGGACTATGTACAAGTACCCCAGTCTAACGTTAGCTGTTGAGGCGTTTGTGAAATGGAGTCTGTATCTCATCTTAATCAGCATGTCAAATTGTGTACTTGTACTAACGTTCATGCTTGTCTCATAAAATGCACAGTTCGTCCAAGTTTTTAGGTTAAGCGGCTGCACTAGTGGAAAGGGATAGTTGGATGGTCATCGTAACCAACCTTCTGATAAAAGATGGTACCTGATGATGACTAGTGGATAAATTTTCGGTGGAAGAATATTCGGTCACATTTTTGAATTTTCGATGTAAATTTCGGTGATCAAAGAAATGAAACTCTTTGCTGCAAGTTATTTTTATCTTCAACATAAGAATATCTGCAACGCAATCTTTAAAGATGCAAAATCGAATATTTTGATGTCAGCCCAATAAATGAAACTGCAATGAGGCAAGAATGTCATAGTCTCTTATTTAGAGGATGTCAATTTTATTTCATTTTTCTAACCCATAGAAGAATATTACATGGAAGCTGTTACAGTTCGCCAAATTTCCAAACCCCAATCGCAAGGGGGCTGGGGTTGGGGGCTACAAATTCTGATCGATTGTTAGTTAGAAATTGAGGCTTCAAAATTGAAAGCACTAGAGCGTTAGAAAGAAACAATTGTGAGAAATTATGAAGAGCCAGTAGAAGCATCAGTCCAGCCCACAGAGAACTCAACTTTCTTGGATGTATAAGGCGAAAGAGATAAACGTGAAGATGAGCTGGATATCATATTTGTTGATGACAAAGGGAAACTAGAAACTAGAAACTTGATATGCATTGGATGTATAGTAACTCTAAAACAATATCAAGGAAAAATTGTTTGTGTTGTTTTGAGTGCATGTTTTTTTAGAATTTGACAATTTCGATAAGAAAAAATTTCGGTTTCAAAGAATTCGGTTGGAAAACTTCGGTTGCAGTGCTTCAACAAAAACAAATTCCATCGAAATTTTCGGCAATTAACCGATCAGAAAAATGCACGCACATGACTGGCATAGTTGTCCAATCAGTTCTGCATGCCTATAGAAAAATTACCACTGGAGTCCAAGAGAGAAAACGAACTATCTGCCTACATATTAGCGGCTTTTTAGATTGTATGTAGATCGATTCCAAAACTGCTAGACGGAAAGACGACTGGGCTCTGCCAATTATCTAAAACATTATAGATTTCGTCATTATAGATTTAAAAACAATGGCCAAGTCACTTTATTAACGGTGTTTAAACCTACAAGATTGAGGAGGCTGCTCTCTTTGAAGGGCAGTTTTGTTTCTTATTTTGGAAGGAACATGTTATTTTATCCTATCCCCCAATCCTTGGGTTGTGCCAGAATAGCCAGAATCACACTGGCACGTAAATTCATAAACAACGGAACTCTTTTGGGTGGTAGGAACTCAATCCTCTTGAATAGATGGAAGGCCTCTCCTCTCCTGGTACTCTATACAATACGAGGATAGACAGGAAAGAAACAGCCTGTTTAATCTGCCTTTCAAGTCGCAAGGAAGTGTTACCAAACAAAGGTAGTTTAAGATAAACTGGGAACTTCTGTGGACCGAACTTTAGGACAGCCGAAAAACTTAAAGAAATGACATCTTCTGGATAGTCGTTTTCCAGAAAGATCGTTTTAAGTTTTTCAAGTTCAGCGTGCAGTTTAGGTGCAGTTTAGATTTCGAGTAGATTATGTACTAAAGTTTTGACAAGGTTGATTTTTCGTTGTTTTGGTCAAAAGGAATCTCAGCCAGGGATCCGGAACGACCAAGGGGCAAGGGAGGGGCAAGCTTGAGTTAAAGGGAATTTGAAAAAATTAATTCTCAGCTACCAACAGTTCTTTCGCAACTGTCATTTTGTTTTGATCTTTTGTCAGTATCTTAAAAATCGGCTACATTTAGGCATAAGAAATTTCTTCACAAGTTTCGAGAAATGTCGTCATAAATAAAGCACTACAGTCAGGATTTCACGTAAATCTAACGGATTTCCTATAAAAGGCCGGCGTCAAGGGAACTTTCATGAAAAGGGCTTTTTAGCCCCTTTTGCCCCTCCTATCAAATGGCAACAGGGGCGGTCAACCCCCCGCGCCCCTCTCTCCGGCGTCCCTGATTCCAGCGTATGTACTGACCGGTAAGAGTTGTCAAAAAAGATATCACAAAGCATGACCGACATTCTATAAAGTATTACTTTACGTCTATCCGTATCATTCGTCATTTTCTGTTTTTCGTTCTCCTTCTTCGTCGATAAATAAAGTATCAAGATCATCTTCATGTTCTTCTTTTCCGCACCTTCATTCAAGAAACTTAGATTCTCGAACTGATGTTTTAACTCGCTTTTCATAACTTTAATCAATTATTTTGTTGAAATGTTCCAGGAAATTCAATTAAGATGCCTCAACTTTTAAATCACGAACAGAGTTTCTAATCCCCTTGTTGCGACTTGCAAAGGAAATATTGCGAAATGTAATCACTTCCAATTAAATTTTCTCCAGTACACTCATTTTTTTGTAAGAAACAAAGGTCGATGGCGAGTACTCCAGTTTCTTAATGTTTTGGAAATTTCAATACTCATTGTTTCTCAAGAGTTTCTTAATTATGATGTCATGAATGATGTTATGAAATTTTCGTGACCTTTTTTATCACGTCAAGAGATTTGCTTCCTTTTTGATGCTGTATTTAGATGTGTATCCCTCGTTTCTTAAGATCTATGCCGTATATTTGTATAGGAGACGTATATTTGTATCCCTCGTTTACGGAAGTATATTTGTATCCCTCGTTTCTTAAGATCTAAGCCAACAGGGCAATCATGTTTTTAGATTTTACAAAATAAATAGCCAGAAAGGGGAACTTTCAAAACAGTAACATTTCGAGATATGAACATAACAATTAAAAGCAAATATTGACTAAATCAACGATGTAACTCAAATATCTTTATGAAATTCGAGGCTTACGCTAGAATTAGAATTGTTCTGAATATTCAACTTCTTTTCTAAATACTACATACTATTCTACTATCCGTAAAATCTAACACCTTAATTCATTCCCTTTTTAAGTTCACTAAATGTTTTCTTATGTCTGATGCGTGCGCAAAGCTCCACAGTGATTGTCCTTCGACAATCTTCTGCAAATTTCAAATTCTTAAGAAGCATCGAAGGTTAGAAAAGTAAAAAAAAAACAAATGGGAATAAAAATCAAAACCCATGTGAAGTAGCTTTGGCAAAATATCTGGGCATGATACTGTCCTATCAAGATTACCATTGTTATGCCAGATGCTAATAACAGATATGGTTGTTGCTGTATGAACGCTTTACTCTGTTAGTGGCAGATTTTTTAAGAGGATGCGTTCTCTCGAGGCTGCGTCATCTGTTGCTCCAACTTTACCAATTACAAAAAGAATTTAACATTTGCGAAAATGAATTTAGTGAAGCAAAGAGAATAAGATAATTTAACTGTCATTTACACTTAAAAAACAAAACTACCTTGATTAAGAAAAAACAACAAAACATATTTATATATAAGCCAACCTCCAATTTAGCTTTTCCGTTTGCAAATTCGCTTGGACAGTAATTGGAAGCTTTTACATGACTACTTGGTTCACACACGTGGAGGGGAGTTCTAGTTGCCTGGAAGCCTCATTTCGTAGTAACGTTAATTCAATATTTGCAGCCAAAGGAAAATAAAGAAGCGTAGTGCTACCAGCTCAAAGTGACGCCAGAAAACTGAAATACGTTAACCGAGGATATACTGACCTTACCCTTAACCTTACCCTGCCTAGCTGTAGCTGCACATATGAATGCATATTAACAAGGAATTAAATGAGAAATAGCACATTACACGCAATAATGGCCCCTCACACCTTCATGTGCACCCAAAAGAGATGCCCCTGGCACGTTCCTAGGGCAAACGCCGTTTCCTTATTAACGACATCGCTTGCCTAATTTCTCAATTGGCATTGAGAGCATATTCAAGCATACTGCGGCCCTGGCCAGAAGAGTGGAAATTTCGATCGAGCAGCACACAACTTGTTCAACTCTTTTCACTTGATGAACTAATGGTAAGTAGCAAATAAGAATAACATCGAATAAAGCCAAACAGTCCAACTAAGATGCCGTGTCGGATACTGCTCAGTTGAAAGGTTATTTCTATTGGCCAGGGCTTTTAATGTATAGGTAGAAACATGCTAAGAGTTTATATATTTACAGATGAATGATATAAAATCTATAAAAGGCAACAAAACGAGGATTAGCATATACGGTAACTCTGCAAGCTAGTGTTGACACTCAACAAGTTTCTGAAGTGCCTGCACTACAAATGGTCAATGATCTGACGAGTCATGGTCTGATGTGAAAGCAGGGTCTGATGACAAAGGTCTAGCGATGACAGGATGCTCGACAGAATGCTTCGACAGAACACTTTAACACCACATGTCGTCTTCGGCTTCAGCTTTGCTTTCTGAAGATGTGGGCTTAATGCCAGCACTTGAACCATTTCTGAGTGGCTGCCTATCGACAGAGCCTTCCGAGTTTCCATTAGAGTTGGTGTGCATCCTAAACCCATCTCTGTTTTGCTACAATATAAATTGCACAAGTACAAGTAAGCAAACGATAGCAAGCAAACAATGGCAAGCAAATGATAGCAAGCAAATGAAAGCGACCTAATAAAAGCGAGCGAGCAAAATTGATCAAAAGAGAAGAACAGTGCAATCTAACTTTATCAATGTCTACAAGCTATCAATGTCATCAATAAGTGTTATCAATGAGTATAAATGTTATCAATGTCAAAAGCTGCGAGCATAAACGTTACATCCAACTATTGATTAAACCAGCCACAAAGATGCAAAAGTTGCCTATCGATTTCGATGTTTACCAACAAGATTTCAAATTCTGCTTCCAATCTTTTGACAGTAAACCAATCGTATCACCAAAAATATCTGCAATATCACCAAAAGCACGGCGCTTTTGAAATAAATAGGGCAAATGTCAAATATCGAAATTTTCTATTCCCTGTTTTTGACAAAATTAATTCTCTAACAAAAAAAACAATAAAACCCACCATTCTTCTTCTGACATTGCTTTTGATTGGTTTTTTGAGAGAAAATTATAGTTAAACTCAATTGTCATTTGTCTGTTCTCACTTATCGTGTTTACATGCTTTCGTATCAATTTTTTCGCCTTTTCGTGCTTTCTTCAATTTTGCGGTTCCATCGAATTATTGAAGTAGGTAAGTAATGAAAATGAAATTTCCATTGCCCGCATACAGATGCATAGAGAAAGGCAGTTCTTCCGATGTTTAGAGACGGCGCCAAAAAATTCCCGAGGAAAAACAGACATTCTACAAAGAGTAGCTACATTAAATAGAGTGCCGGGGAGAATGCTGAACTGCTGTAAACAACCAAATTTGTTAATGCACCACAGAATGCGTAATATCATGGTAACAATGCCAAAATTTGATAATAAGCAGCAACCTACCTTTCTTCTGTCTCTAGATGAAAACTGGTCACCACTTGGACCAAATCCTGTCCCAACGGCCGACATTGCTAATTCTTCCAGCCATTCTGGAACCTCTTGCCGGGCCTGTGAATCGAGATTTGAATATCAAATTCAAAATTTATTTGGTTTTGATAAATTAAAAAAATAGCTTTGAAACTGGAAAAATAAATGCCTCAAGACATGAAAATCACATAAAATGCCCTAAATTGTAAAGATTCCGAAAAATTGCATGCACAGGAAGCAATCTTGAGGAAATAAAGTAAATTTCACAATCTTCCCAATGAAGTTCCACAATCTTTCAACTAGAAAATTCAGCGATTTGTAGATGTAACTTTATTAATTTAAATCTCAAGCACACCTCAGACAGTACTTTAACAAGACCCCTTGCCAACCTCTGGTCTTTAGTTCGATCGAAAAATGCAGTTGCACGGCCTTGGTTGCCAATTCGTCCTGTCCTTCCAATCCTGTGGATATATTCGTCAATTTCTGATGGCAGGTCAAAATTGATGACATGCTTCACGTTTGGAATATCTAGTCCTCTTGCAGCAACTGCTGTCGCAATTAGAACAGGCGCTTTTCCAGTTCTAAAATCTCTAAGAGCGCATTCCCGTTCTTCTTGAGATCGATCGCTGAAAGAGACATTTTACATAAGACAGTCATACCTCCCTCTAACCAACGTATGGTCAAAATTTACCTTGATAATTTTAGGGTTTGGTTTGAGCTCCAAATTTCATCAGACATACACAACAATTAGAATGAAAGGTACATCTGTGTTTGTGTCTGGGTGGATGGGCGTCAACGTTCTGTAGTCTTACTGCACACATATTATCAAAACAGCACTACTAGATCAGTACAATTTCATATTCAAACAAGGCATACCTTGAGATGCTAGTGGCTGGAAAATTCCTTTGTGAGAGAAAACTTGCAAGAAAATCGGCGCTTCTTTTTGTCTCCACAAAAACGAGGATTCTTTCACCAGCTGAAGAAAATTGTTTTAATCAAAATGAAACAACCCCATTTGAAGTCCATGTTATTTAAATTTAATTGCAAAGAGCAGCATGAATATAAAAAAAACAGCAAATCATAACATATCAAATCATAACATAGGGAAAATATCATAATAAAACTAGCACATAATAAAATCTCTGCATAAAGCTTTAAAGCTTAAATTAAATTATCAACTGTCAAAATAATGTTTCCGTCGACAGCGCAGACTTTGGGAAATATGAAGAAAAAGACAAAACCTTGATGGATAAATTTACAGTAGAGACATGAGAGATTCACACTCTAAACATAAGAACTCACCTTGTCAATTTTATAAATACTATCTAATCATTTTCTCTCTACATCTTTCGCACTCTCAAAACTTTTGCACAATGAATAGTGACATTCAGTTTATTTATGCATTATAAAGGATATTCAGACATGAGGGCTTTTACAAATAGAATGATCAAAACCTGCTGTTCCTCGAGAAACATTATATCTGTTATATCTGCCTACTGAATCAAGATTATTTTTTCCCAATCTGTCAAGATACCATTATTGAACGTGAAAATCTGATTTAAAATAACAGCCAGTCTGTTCCACGTACAAAACCACGTATAGCCTACAAGGCATCGTGTAATACAAAACTCGGTAAACAGTTAACTTCATTCTATTTTTGTCAAATGAACTTCACCTGGTTTAGACATTTGCTCACAGTTTAGAATCCAGCACTGTTTCGAGAATCTCAACAAGCAGGCAGATACAATAAAAAAACACAAGAGGATGGAAAGAAGTACCAGGGAAGTTCGATTTTAAAAAAGCAAACCTGATTCTAAGAGGATCTCTTCAAGCTTCGTTCTCTTCTCTGAACCTGGAATTTCCACGACTGACTGTGCGATATCCGAACTTGCACTGCCAACACGGCCAACAGTTATGAAAATATAATCATTGAGATAATTGGCAGCGAGCAGTTGGATACTCTCCGGAAATGTGGCACTCAACATCAGGGTTTGCCGGGCTTCTTTCCCTGGCAAATTACTGTTACCTGCAATGTTTCTGATAGTTGATTCGAAGCCCATATCCAGCATGCGATCAGCCTCGTCCAGTATAAAGAACTGTATATTCGAGAGCGAAACCTGCACGAGGAGAGACAATAGAAAATAGAAAGGAGTACTTTATATCTGGCAAAAAAGTGAAAAATTACTCACAACTTGAAGAAGGCTTATATAACCGGACTGTTAGGACGAGATGGTACGTGAGATGTTATACTGAACAAATCTTCTGTTCTTGAAATTGACAATGAGTTCCGTTCACATGAGTGGAAACACAACAATGGGTTGAAAAGACAAAGATATGTTGAATAAATAGTAGAGCAGCGTTAATGCAATAAAGTCTCACCCGCCGTCTTTCAATGAAGTCATTCAATCTACCAGGAGTAGCAACCAAAATATTGCAGCCATCACTCAGTGTTCCAAGCTGATGCGAGACACTCACTCCACCATATATCACAACCGTTCGCAGTCTGCTGCCATATGCGAACTTCCTTGCTTCCAAAAATATCTGAATAGCCAATTCACGTGTCGGCGTGATAATCAAAACGTTAGGGCAAGCCGATTCACATGTATCCGCTTCTTGCACTCCATTTTTCATGAGATTAGAGATGACAGGAAGCAGGTAGGCCGCCTAATTACAAATCATTCATTGAAACATTAATATATCCAGAAAAAACTTTCAGAACACAAACAATAAGGAGACTTCTAAATTTAATACCCCTTATCTATCATGTTCTTACCGCCTTAAGACAGCAATAATGAAAAGATGCACCAATGAAAATTTAATGTCAACAAATATGGTAAATAGTAATAAAAGTAAAATGTCTCTCTGTTGCTTTACATACCGTCTTGCCAGAGCCAGTTTGGGCACAAGCCATAACATCACGACCAGCACACACAGCAGGCAGCACACTCTTCTGAATCGGAGTCGGCGTTTTGTATTTTGCTCTTCTGAGATTATCGATGCATACTTGATGCAAACCTGACTCATCGAATGTATTGATTCCCTTGGGAGGTTCCCTTCCTGTCACCTCGAATGGAATCGATTCGTATTTTTCGAAATTGATTCCTTGATGACATGTGTCATTGAAAATGCCGTTTTCATTCTCTGGAGGCGGTGGAGGAATGTAGATAACAGGAGCACGTGCTGAAACAAAAAAATAATGCAGAAGTTTGCCAAGAAAGAACTTCGGACATTTCTTGCAGCAAATAATTGGGCTATGTTGAAAGCATCGAAGAAAAACAGCTCAAATTTCACTGATAGCTAAAACAGAGATTCTTTTTAAACGACAAAAAGATGAAGAAAATGAAGACAGAGATAGAAAAGGGGCTTTTCTTTGCAAAAGCGAGAAAGAGTTTCTGGAAGAAGCGAGTAGATCTTAAAAAGCTATGTGAAACAATAACTTTCACATGTATCGCTAAAAAACTTGTCACTCTTTCGTTTTTGGAATCCAATTTCAGTAACCTTTTTTGCATTTCTTGCTGAACGTATAAGTTTGGCTTAAACAGGGAAACAGCTTGCAAAAAGAGCTATGGTGAATGAGAAAGGACAAAGTGAAACAGATCGTTTAAGGATAATACCTGGTTTGAATGCAAAGCCATCATTCATTTCCCCATCCTCGATGAAAATGCCATCATCTTTCGGCTCACTACGACTTGTTCCAAAGCTGTTTTGGTTGCAGGAGAAAAAGAAAATTTTGCAAATCTTTCAAGAAACCATCTTAACAATAAACAAAATTTGCTGAAGTCTATTTAGAGCTCGACAAAGGGCTCCTCCCTAAAGTTTCACCTTTTGTCTTAGACCATTAAGCAAGGTTATAGCGAATTTTCCGCACTTTTTTGGGAACAAGAGAAAGATATTTCAGTTTTGAATTAATTGTAAATCAGTTTTTAATCAGATCAAAAATAAGTAAAATAAAACTTTTCATTAAAAGTATTCATTCCACATTGTTTGCTTTATAAATTCCAAAGAAAAAAAGAAAGAAACTTTGTCTCTTTTCATCATCCAAAAGAAACCTAAAGTATGATATAAAAATATTCTTCAATGTTAGTACATACCCAGATGGACGAAATGATTGTGCATCTGCTTTTGATGCTAAAATATAAAGAAAAAAAATGTAAGCCACGCAAATGTTGCAGTGAAAAGTAAAGAAAGTTTCTTAGCACGGAAAGCATTTTTAGAATACTAGAGTATTTTAGCTGGGAAAGTATTTTTAGCATATGGAGAGTATTTCAGCAGAAAAAGCATTTTTAGTAGCGTAACTACTTTTAGGAGAAGTTCAAATACCCATGGCGATTTTACAGTTTCAGAGTGATACAAGAGTGATGACCTCAGTAGGAGCCTACATACTAAAACGGGACTAGGGTGTTTGCACTGAAAAGGTGGTTGATACTTAACAAGGATGATGAGTGAAAAACATTTCGAGGCTAGAAACGTTATTGGAGAAAACAACTTACTTGGCTGACCCCATGGTTTTGCACCACTTTCATTTGATGCCTGACTAGTTTCATTGCTACCACCAGACCTTCCCCACGGCTTTGCAGAATCCTGTGATCCGTTTGAACCATTCTGTGATCGATTTTCTTTCAAACCGACACGCAGCCGCTTCCCCATCAACTCAAACCCATCAAATTTCTCAGCAGCACTTGCGGCTTCACTTTCCAAATCATATGCTACAAAGCTAGACAAAATGTTTCTTTTATATTAGATACACATATAAGAAATGTTTCTTATATATTTGATACACATATAAGAAATGTTTCTTATATATTTGATACACATATCAGAAATATTTATAATCTATTAGAGTTTCATATTGTATATTTTTTTTGGTTCTTCCAAGCGACACAGACACAAAGCCAATATCATTTTGGGACAAAAAACTGAACAATAACAATGAGGTTGTAACTGCTTTCTGTCTACATAAAACAAAAATTTTCATCGAAGCAAAAGATAAAAGCAAAAACTTTGTGATGGGTTATCGAATGGTTGTCAAGAAACTGCGTAATCATTTAGATACCCCCTGACTTTTTGTTAACTAATATCTTAATCTTGATTGACATTTTATACTAGAACAATACATGCTTGTTTATGTTAAGTCGAAGTTGAGTTGCGAGCCTAGAGAGCGTGAGTAAAGTCTACACGATTACGGATTTATTATGTTACGAAGGAAATTTACTTTTATTGTGTATATAGTTATAGTAGTGTTGGGTAATCGGAACTTTGAAACTATACAGTCGGATTGATTACTTTTCGAGCTAATCTTTGGAACTTGGTTTGGGGCCTGACCGCGTTCCCCAGCCACAGAAGTTATTTTATGAAAAATATTCAACAATGGTGGAAACAAGGAGCACATTGAAACTGCTGTTCCTTCTCTCATGTTTCTTTTGACCCTTAGTAACTTCCTTTCACTTTGGATCATCCTACAACACAATATGCAATCATAGAAACCCACTTTTTCATTAAATATGTTTAAAATCGCAATAATAGAAATCAAATGTCTTAAACATGAAAACAAACATACGCAAGGGTAATGTCCATTCCATCTCTTGGCGGAAGAATTTTCACGTTTTTAACAGTTCCAGCAGCAGAAAAAACCTCTTTTAGTTCATCCTGAAATGATAATCAAAATAATATGACTGACTGAGAGAAGCACTTGGTGCTATTTGTTAAGGTGTTTCATCAATTACGATGAAGGTATGTCATCAAACATGCGAAAAAGTAGGAAAACTTCTAACAAAATCCTGTCACATTCATATGGAAATTCTTCATGATATGGAGATTCCATTTAATGTCATCAATAAATCTGCGATTATTTCAACCTAAAAATTCTAAGCAATGTTCTTTACATGTCTTACCTCACTAACAGAGGCAGGGCAACTTCGGACCTGCACTTCAGCCCGACTTCCCTTCTGAAATCGTTCAGCATTGAACCCAGCATTGAATCCACCACTGAACCCACCTTCTTCAGGCTTTGAAGAAGCCCTCGTTCCAGAGCCTTTTTCACTGTCCTCTACTCGAAGCCTCTTTCCCTCAATCTCGTGCTCATTGAAAGTTTCTATTGCCCTCGCAACCTCCTCATTGCTCGAAAAAGTAACAAAGCTGAAAATTTCAAAACAATTTCAATTAATGAAAAATTTTGAGGTATAACACACAAACGAGAAGAAAAAAGAAAAGCTCGTTTCAAACTGTCATGATTTTGAAACGCAATAAGCAATAAGCATAAAAGCAATAACCCATTGCCTTGAGATAATGGAGCAAAGTTGTGCTGCTTGACCAAATGCCGTTACAACTGCACCAAACTGCCAATTACAAATTTTTTTACTTGTAGACTACTTAATCTGTCAAGCTATACAAATTTGGTCTGAAAAACCTCATTATCAGCAGAAGGTCTGAAGCTAATAAAAATAATCAACTAAAAAGGTCTAAAAATCTTTCCTGATGTTTTGGTTCACAGCTGCATAAAAATTGGTCCACAGCAATTTTCATGCAGCTTGCCCGTCAATAAACACAACTGATTAATGATTATGAGCAAGATTAATTTGATTGAACCCCCGAAATATCAGTAATAATTTGAAGTGCATTTATCCTACATGAAAGAAGGAGATTTTCTCTGCCCTGCGCCCCCCCCCCCCCCGGTCGCCCAATTCATGCTTTAGGAAACGATGTGCAGTGGCAACACGAAATGAAAAAACCGAATGGAAAGCAAAACTGTATAAAAGGGAAAAACACTTGCTTATAAAATATAGTGCAAACAGTATTTGCGTACAACAACTATAATACTTGCATACCCAAGGGTGATATCTCTATCTTCTCGAGCGGGCAAGACCTTCACTCTCTGTATGTTGCCAGCTGCGTCAAAAAGCGTTCGCATGTCGTCCTACGTAGAAATAGGCAACAGATGAAATAGGCAATGTATTGTACTGTGATTGCAAAAGGCAAATCGACCATCTCTTATAAAATATCATCACACCGCAAAACACACAGGAAGACGAAGTTAGCAATGCAAGACACAATGAGTCGTGCCTCCGGAAACGAAGTCGAAAATAGCAAAAAAACAACAACATAAATAAAACACCAGTGTTCCATAAAAAGATGTTACAAGAAGAATTAAATAACGAGACATTGAGAAAACCCTCTAATTGAAACACAATCTAATTTGAAAATCTTTGCACTATAAAGCCAACGGCCTTCTTAATGACAAAGAAATATGCACAAAAACATTTATTCATCAGAACCTTTTTGTTTAAAAGCCTGGCCATGAGCAGGGCTCGCCAAGGCTGCCACGTGTACTAAATACAGGGGCGGATCCAGACATTCGCAACATTCGCACTGGCGAATGTCAGATTTCCACATGTCTTTTTGTAATTGTCTGTTAATACATTTTAGCATTGCGAATATTGTACTAGAAATGGCCAGATAATAAAAAAAGGTCCACAGAATACAAGAAATAAAAGTTTTGTTTCCTGCCCTAGTTGCTTTGATGTCACCTTGTTGTTTACTTTTTAGGTTTTATTCCCTCGTTTTCGTGATTTAGAGATGATATATTCGAAAGAGGGCTCCCCCTTTTACGCATAAATTCACAGAGCACCAATAAGGTTTGATGCGAATGTCGAATGGAATTATAATATATTAGGCATGCGTGCGCAAATGAAGTAGTACTGAAAAATGTATGCCAAAAATTTGTGCGAATGTCAGTCAAGCTATGTTATTTAGCCATCTGAAAACCAATAGGAAATGCATATGGGAAATTTTTTTGCGAATGTGGCGAAGGTAGATGCGAACTATGTTCGGTAGCCAGTTGAGGGAGAGAACCTTGGAAAGTGGGCAGATAGAAACCTCGCTTCCAGATCAACGGCCATGATTGTTGTTGGAAAGCTGTGGAGACATTTGCTTGCAGATGATTTTTAATTTGAATCAGCGGATTTCTTATGAAGATGTTCAAAGTTTGTCGAAGATTTTGGTTGATGGATGGAATTTGATAGATGGCAATATGCGAGGACAGTTCAGTTGGACCTAAAATTGTTGAACCAAAATTTTGCCTATGTTTTCATTTTCATGATGGAGGACGTTATTTAGACAGAGATTCAGACTCAAATAATAAATTGAAGAATACGTGATGCTTTTTAAGGTAAATAGCCATTTTTATGCAGGCTGTCAATCAGAACTTTTAGGGTTCAAGTCAGGTATATCTTGATAATGATGATGTAGCATTCTGACGAATGATGCTGTTCTATAAATATCTTGATGAATTTGAATATGCTGAATTTTAGAGTTCTAGATATTTTTTTTGATAGATGTTGTTATTATCACAAACCTGTAAATAGTTTGACTGTGCTGGGGATTTGTTTTTGAATAAGATATTGCATTTTCTACGGCGTATTCTTTTCTTGTTAATTTTATGCTGTCAGTTTTGGAAAAATCTAGACTGCCATATTTGTAAATGAGAAATTATAATAGTATTTTGATTTTATTTGTCTGGTCATGCCATAAATATGGTAACCCTTTTCACGAGTTTAACCTCTAAAACTAGTAAAATTATTTGTGGTTTCCACACTATAAGAGTATACCATTTGAAACTTTTGGTTCTGAAATACCCTTAAGATTCATTAATTTTTGTTTATGAATTTGCAAGTGACTGACAGTCTTCTTTTCTATGTTATTGTGTGTGTAAATAAATGTAAATGTGGGTAGTAAATAAGTGCAATCAATGGAATGATCCTAATGGGGGAATTACTACATTATTAATAAGAAATTCACAGCAAGTTGGTCCTGCCAAGTAAATATCTTATATAAATCCATATAGTAAAAGTTACCATGTTTGCCTTATTTCTTTGCCATTACTGACTTTGTTTGATGTACATTTTAAATTTGTATATAATATATATTTATGATGTTCTTGTTATGGAAAGACAATGAATTTTTTTAAATTCTGTTACATTTGCTGTTTTACCAACACCTGAAAATACTAAAATTGTATGATGTGTATTGACCTAACTGGTATTTTTGGCCATGTTTAAGGCACATCACACAGCAGTTTAGATAGAAAGGTGAATGCACAAAATAAATAACAGAAAAGCTCTGAGCCCCTAAGGTATTTGGTGTTGAAGTCAAACATTTGGGTGGATATTGCATTGAAAATTTCTACACTAATTTGATTGTTAAATAATATCATTGTATAAATAGAACTAAGATTCCTTTCTTTAAATGGCTGTTTTTTAAGTGAGTGACATAAAATGTTTTTCATGAGTTTTTCTCCATGAGAAGGGGTGATACACACATCTAATATACCCATATTTTAGCTCATCAACTTTGTTCTTGACAATTTGTGGTTCTGTGCCTAGACTTGCCATTAAATCATTATTAAGAGGACATTTCAAATCTTTGCTGCTGTTTTTCCATCACAAAAGCCATGTAGGAAACAAAACATGCCAACACAACAAAAGCTTGATGAGTGTTTCTCAAAATTTTTCCAGAGATCTCTTTTCTTGTTCACTCAATAAGTAAAATGCCAAATTGTCAATGAAATCCAGACCTGGATGTTATTCTTAATATTTATCCTTAAATTTCTCAACCTTTGAGCCTCAATATCTATCCTTAAATTTCTCAACCTTTGAGCCTCAACATTTTTATTTAGTCTATGCTGTTTAAAAAATGTGTTGTTAGTTTCCTAATCCTAAAACTTAATATAAGGAAAAAAACATCTTTAAGTGGAAAACTTCGATTCTGAGACTATAGTAAAATTTGACTGATTTTTTTTGGGCGTGGTCATATAGGCGTGGTCGAAACTTTGCGAATGTCAGATTTTTTTCTGCATCCGCCCCTGACTAAATAAAACTACAAACTATCCCCATAAAAACTACAAATTATCAACATGCAGGCTCATGTTTTGCCAATTAATTACCTTAAATAATAACAAGAACAGCTTTGTAAAATTAGATTATTTGGTGCAGAATTTTCCTGCAACTGCTATTCATTTTCATATTCATTTCTGCTATTCAACGTTTTCATTCCTAAATACAACCTTTTAGATGCTCGTTGTCTTTCAAGTTGTTAACAAAATCTTGAATAAATCCTGTGATATGACATCATCAAAGGCACGATACTGTTACAGTTGCATCTCCTTTTCATCCCCTCCTCCTTATGTCACTCATAGCCATCCCTTTCCTCCTAACCCTCCCTCTCCCCTGTCCCTCTTCCTCTTTCCCTATTCCTCCACTCTCCCTTTCGAGCATTTATCTTCATAATTAGCAACTAAGCCATCTGTATGGTAACCATAATATTTAACGAGTATCCAAGGTATAGAGAAACTCACCTCAGTTAAGGATGCTGGCCAGGAAAATACTTTTATCTGGTTTGAAGTTAGTGAGCCTGTTTGCGGCCTTTCCTGTTGCCTCTTGTTGTCTGCGCCATCAAGCTCCACCCTTATGCGTCTACCTTCAACCTCGTGACCATTGAATTGCGAGACTGCTGCTTGGGCTTCCCCATCAGATCCAAATGTTACAAAGCTAAAAATTCAATCGATTTTGCCTATAGTGGGCATAAGTTGCATAAATTATGATTTCATTTTAAGGTTAAAGACAATTTTTTGCACTAATACAGATTTCTGTGCGGATGCTAAAACAACTTGAATGATTTAGTAGGTTGTGTGGGTTTTAAGTTATACAGTTTAAAAAGTCGCAATTTGCCCTAATGAATGGTGGAGCAAGAGCGTGGTCAAACTAATGTATCACGAGACCTTGTGGTGACATAAAGTGGTGGACACCAATAAGGGTCATGAAAAATAGCAATCAGATAATCGCATGAATAAAACACGAAATTTGGTGAAGAATAGACAAGAAAAAAGATCCATTTGGAAAACCCCTTGTGCTATTTTTAGAATGTAGTACTTGTGTTCATGGCTTTGAAAAAAGCAAACATTTAGTAAACTAAAGCTTTTCGTCTGACACTCTTCAGAGTTTAAAACGTCAGAACATAGATCGAAAACTCTACGCCAAGAAATATATATACCCAGTTGTGGATCGAAATAGGCCAATCAGAAACACGAGCACATGACTGTAAAGGTTGACCAATCAGTGCCGCTTGCCTATTAGAATGTTACCAGCGGAGTCCTAAGGTGAAAACAAACTCCTTTTGTCTACACAGTAGCGGTTTTTTCGTGCTTATATAGATAGATTCTAAAACTGCTAGGTGGAACGACGATCGGGCTTTACAAATAATCCGAAACATGTCGCCATTATAGTTTTTTGCACAATCTGGGTTTTCTAGCAAATGCTGCCCGATAGCAGAATCGCAGGTTTTAGTTGTAATTTTAGATTTGCAAGACCGAGGTGGCTGTTCTCTTTGGGGATGGGTTTTGTTTCTAATATTAGTTTTAGATAGACCGGGCACTTTTGAGGACCAAATTTTACGTCAGCCGAGAAATTTCCTATCTTCTCCTTAATGTAAACTGAAATAACATCTTCTGGATAGCCGTTCTCCAGAAAAATCTTAGTTAGTTTTTCAAGTTCTGAGTCGAGTTTAGACTTGGAACAAATCATCAGTGCCCTATGTGTAAGCGTTTTGATGAGGCTGATTTTTCTTTGTTTTGGGCAAAACGAACTCCATCGAGTGTATAACCCGGAAAATGTCGGTTTACGGTATACACTAGTGAGAAATCCAGTGTCAGATTTTTCAACCAAAACATCCAAAAATGGCAAGGAGTTATTTTCTTCCTTTTCAAATGTAAAATGTAGGGCTGTATGAAGGCCATTTTAGGAAAGTATCACACTCAGCCTCTGTTTTGAAAATAGTATATTTGTCATCCACAAACCGAAAATAGACACCTGGCTTTTGGTCGCAGTCAAACAAACGCTCTTCATGAAAGCCAACAAAGATATTGGCCAAGGCAGGTCCCAGAGGGCTACCCAGAGCGACACCATCCTTTTGTTGGTACATCTCATTGTTAAAGCTTGTGTTCAGTACTCAGAAGCCTCACTGTGGAAAATTCCTTCTGTAAGCTATACAGCCATAAAAATTGGCAAACCTGCAAAATTTGACTTGCTGAAAAACAAAAGTCATCCCCTCACCTCAGAAATACCCTTTGTGATTTCTTGGACTGGGGTACTCCTGCCCAGTCCACAGCACATGTTATCAGGGCATTTTTTTATATGACTCCAGGCATAAAAAACAATTCAAACCAGGATGTAAACAAAATGGGAGGACTTAATTTACAACTATTGAATGACGTATGTTTTGAAGTTTGTACATTTATCACTATTTCTCGGGGAATCATTATTTTCATCGACAAAACATACATTGTAAGTGGATTTTCTAATTATGCGATGAAAAGTAGCAGATTAGTGGATTTGCGAATTTTGCTGAACCCTCCCCCACAGCTCCTTTCAGACTTTGCTATGCTTTAATTCTAGATTTTGGCGACATTTAATTCAATGAAAAATGATCCATCATTATCTTTTATGCATTATCTTAATGGATGATCGATATCTGGCCAGTGAAGTACTTAAAATAGCTGTCATGCTTGAAACCCGATAAACGCCAAGCCCTCAATGACTCAACTAAGGATTCATTACTGAAGCTGATGAAACAGCTTATGACATGGCAAAAAATTTTCTGTACTAGTACTGCTGTTTTTTGCTGATAAACTAAATAAGTTCAGTTTATACTTGTGTAGAAACTTGCTCAAGTCTTCAGAAATAACCCATTTTTTGTTAAAATGTAAATAGTTATGCTTGGAATTTAGCGAAGTAAATTCATCAAAACTATTGCTGTCATCAGGTTTGTGTTGGCAATTTCTGCGTAGATCTATGATGATAACTATAAATATTTGCGAAGAAATGTCACACGCCACCACATGCCTGGATGTTTTCAAGCGTGGGGTGGCTTACACGCCTTCTATATTTTCCCCATGAAAACCTGTGTCGTGGTCGCTTATTTCTAGAAAAAGGGTTTTCATGGGCATGACGAATTTTGCAAAGGAAAATTAGCTAAGGCTGTGCCATACTCACGACAATGTAATGTCTCTCCCTTCTCTTGGCGTCAAAACCCTTGCTCTCTTTATTTCTCCAGCATCAGAAAACAGTGTTCTCAAATCTTCCTACAAGCCAATAGACATTCCTTTAAAATCAAAGGTAAAGGCGAATAACCCTGGGGGAGAGACAAACTAGACTTGCCGGGAGCATTTTACCCCTTTTGAAGTTTGTAACAAATTGGAGGGTCATTCCATATCAAATCACCAGATGGTCCCATTGGCGACATCACAGATTCTGTTGAAACTTCTATCATATGAACCTTACCTGGTAAAAATAAAATGCTGAAAATTTCAGCTTCATTGCTCAAATGGTTCCAAAGTTATTGAGCTTTGAACTTTTGTCAAAATCAGCCAAAATTTCACATTTTAGGCTTCGAGCACAGTTTTGCCAACTTTGACATTCAATAACTCAACAGTGCTAAAAGATATCAATTTGGTTCCCAAGTAGTTTTCCAGCCAAATAAGTCATTTTGGCATTATTTACCACTAAAAAGTACTATTTTTCAAGATATCGCTTGTTTAAAATGATAAAGCACCGTTTTAGGGGGTCCTCTAACTTTTCAAGAGGCTACCAACAAAGCATGAATTACACTTTCTCTTCAAATTTTTCTGAAATCATTTAGCAGATGTGTTGGCATTTAGAAAATACTAAAAATAAAGCGTTTGTTGATATCTTGAAAAATAGTACTTTTTAGTGGTCATAGGTCATAGATACTTAGATTTTCAATCAACTCTCTCAAATTTTGGAAACGTTGGGATGCTGACTGAAAAGTTTTGGAAAAGCAATTCAAAAATATCATTAAATAAGAGAGAAAAATTAACTTTGCAGCCTAATCAAGCTTTTCTGAAAAAATGCCTTGTAACAGTTATTTAAAAGACCTTGATAGAACCTGTTAGTGGTTGTGAAAAGAATTATATTTGATGGAAGCCATACGTGTTTGCAACTTGCTAATTAATTGTGAATAATAATAGATCCATTTTCATTGCTTTATTCTACAGCGTGTGCAAATTTTTAACTTTTTGGAGGTAAAATGTTGACTTAAGAAATATTTCCTTGTTACTGTTAACAAAATTTTTCAAATCTTTGGATGGAGACAACCAGAGTTTTTCTTTGCATAAATCATCAGTACAAATATATTGTTATCGAACCTTGCCAGCATTCAGTAGGACATTAAAAATGAGCATGAATCCAACAATGCTCTGCCAATGGCAAAAATTTCATCAGTTGACAAAAGGATCAAATCATATCCTTCAGTAAGGCTTACTTCAGTAGCTGTTGCTGGCCAAAACATGATTTTTATTTGATTTCCAGTCCCTGCATTGCTGCTATCAAAGTTTCCAAAGCCTCTACTGGTGTGACTCCCATTTGATGGTCTTTCTTCTGCTTTTTGAAAGCTTTTCTGCCAAGGAGCATCAGATTCTCCAGAACTAAATCAAGATTGAAAAGTTTCATAACCCATTTTAATTTTAGTGATGGCCACACAAAAATAGAGAACATTACATTTATTTTAAAATATCAAATTGGATATGAAAAATACTTAGGTTAGAAATTTCAAGAAAATCTAGCCAAAGAAATTGTTCAAACTTTTTCAAACTTTTCCCCACAATTCTAAGACTCACCCATTTGTTGCAACCTCAGGGCCAGAAGCATTCATCATCTTCCATGGTGGTGGCATGTTGATTTTGGTATAAGTGTTGCCTAAAGACAAAGCACCATGTTAATATTTCCAGCTGCATGAATCTTGAAAAAAATCTGAAGTTTCCTATTGCCTAATGATTTTAAAACTGATGCCCCATAGGAATTGAAAATTGGGTTCTTGAGTTAATGTTGATTAGTACTTTATCCAGACATTCTGGTTTTTGCAAATATGTCATCCCTACTGGAAAATCTCTTAAAGAATATAAGATACAATCCAACCTGAGTATGAAGCTCTTTCATTCTCCCCAGGTTTGAATCTGTGTTTCTTTAGAGCCAGCTTGAGATTTCCTTATAATGGCTTACACCAAGACTTCAAAAATTTGAGATTTTATGCTTTCTGACCTTTTAAGCTCTAAGGAGTGTCAAACGAAGAAGCTTTTAGTCAACATGTTGTAAAATTTTTGATTTTTTTAAAGCCATTTTCAAGTTTTGCACCGCCAAAAAACTGTTCAAAATTTGAGATATTGAAATATTCTATTGCATCAAATAATCAGAATGGAGTGGGGGACAAGTCAATGCCGGAGAGCTCTAGTGAAACATACACAGATTCCAACATGCCATTCTGGAAATATTTCATTTACGGAAAACTTTTGCGGTTTTAGAATGAAAAGTGAACTTAAAGTTGAGATATTATGAGAAGAAATGACATATTACTTCAAAATTGCATGTTATATGCAAACTGAGCTGATGGTGCCATTGGTAACTGATCCTCACAAACCCAAAGAAGTGTTATATTTTAGGCCAATGCCATAGTAAAGGAGTTGGACGAGGGAGTGGATCTGAGAAATTAAGCTATAAATCATTCAATCTCAAAATAATTTAGCATTTTGCCGATTCCACTATGGTATCTAGAGCCCTTAAAGGACACTTGAAGCAATTTTTATACTTTCAAAATTGCAAAATAACTAAAGTTAAGCACTAGGTAACTAAAGTAAAGGTACATATACGAATAGATCTGGATAATAGAAAATAGAAAATTTTGACATTTTTCTCATCAGTAAATCCTTAAAACTTTTAACTTCATTTATCATATAACCAACAGCAACTTTAAAGGAATGGTGGTAGCAATGTGCAAAGATGGCTCTACTAGGGTCCTTAGCTTTAATTGTAGTTGACACGCCAAGCTGACCCCACCGCCCCCCTCCTTTTTCCAAAGGCACTGCTGGGTATCTAAATTATATTTCTAACTTAGCAGGGCCCCCACCGAAGGGGGAGCTGGGGGGGCTATAGCCCCCCACTTTTTTGCTTGGCAAAAAAATGAAGCAATTAAAAATGAAAAGGGCAATTGTGACACTGGGCCGGCTAAACGACCTCAAATTAGGTCACTTAGGCGTGCAAATGTTCGGCCACCTAGGAAAGCGTCCTTATTAACTTGGCTGGCCAAATTCGCGAGTGGCCTCGTGTAAACGGCTATGGCCAGCCAAATATTTGCACGGTACAAAAAAGAGGGTGTTGATATGTGCTACAGAGGCAAACACAAAATGGGAAATTGAAATTTTGTGGCCCGAAACTAATGTATTGTTGTTGGTTAGAGTCACTGGTTAGATTTTGTGTTTGTAGCTTGTAGCTTGTGCTTTGCTGAAAATATGAATGACTTTCGTCAAAAGACTCATTTTGAAATTAAAAAATAAAAAGCATAGCAAACATCGCAAATTTCCAATCATTGATAGCATTTATGTCAGCCATCCTCTTTAAACAGAATTTTGCGAAGAGAGCACACGAGAACAGAGAATGAGAGAAGTTGTTTTGTTAGCTGTTTGTTTACAATGATTTTTGGCTTCAAGTTTTTGACACATTGCGCAAGTCATAAGAATTAAGTCGCGGGCCAGTGTAAACGCAAAGCCTTAGTGACCTCATTTGTGGCCGGCTTCAAAAGCAGACCAAATTTTTGGCCAACCAAATATTCGGCCGGCCCCGTGTAAACGCAGCCATAGAATTACTGTATTGAGCAAACAATAGGCCATTCAATCAGTGCGTCACGATTTTCAGCCGAAACTTTGGACAGCTAATCACGATGCAGCTAAATGATCAGTGATCACATCAATATGGAGACAAGTGTTCTTCTATTGTAAAAGTGGCAAGGCATATGTGAAACGCAATTAAAGCCCCTAAATGTCCCTTGTGGGTTTCTGGCTGATGAGTTGCTTTTTATCATTTTCTGCCCACCTACAAGCTAATTGCTCAAAACATGCAAGGGGCACACACAACCACACCCCCCCCCCACCCCCCATCTGAGTTTGAGGCGGTAACCAGGTGGTAGTGACTACTCTTTATCTTCTTTTTTTTCATTTTTCCACTTTGGATTTTACATTTTATTTGCACATTGGATTTTTAGTTTTAACCTTCTATGCCTATAAAACCATAGTTTATTACATTACTTACGAGCATGCAGTAAATCTTCTTTGGGCGAGTTGTGTTACCGTTATAGAAATAGTTTCCATTATCAGATTTCTGGCTGTGTCATAATACTTCTGGACAACTTTCCTTGTTATAACATTCGAGAGATAACCAAAATTCTTTTAGACAATTTGCGTTTTTCACAACATTTCACATTCAGTAAAATGGAAATTTCTAGTAAGAATTATCCTCAGTAATCGATTTAGAGGCCATTCTAGAGAGTCTGGAAACTAAAATTTTATGGTGGGCGACATTTTTAGAAAAATTATTCTATTTTTTGCCTCCCTCCCTCCCCACTTTAAAATCCATGGCGGGGCCCTGCTTAGCTAGCACCAAAGTATAAACAGCCTGGCAAATTACAAATTCATAGGAAATTATCATTCCCTAGTACTTCAGAATCAATACAAAATGTTCGAAATTTGGGAATAATAAACTTGCACGCATGATGCACGTTTCCAGGATCGTGACAAACCACTCTGCATGGAATAAAATTTATGTGTGTAAATGCGTTGCATTGAGAGAAAATAAAATCGTTTACCATATCACATGAAACAGCAATTGAAGCTAAAGTTCTGAAAGTATTGATAAAACTGTAGTGGCTTACCTGCTTCTTCAGAACATTAACGATGAAATTTGGTTTCTCACTTTCCAATTTGGCCCATGTGCAAGTGGAAGAAACATTCTTTCCCAGGTCCCAGAATAATTTTGCGCCTAACCTCTTCTGGAAACAATCTGAGTCTAGCTTCGAGGCTGCTTCAGTGCTGCCATGGTAACAGAATAGAAAAATGGAGAAATAGTAACGAAGTTTGGTTGAAAATCCAAAATGCCAGAGGACCCAGCGGAGAAAACACTGTCAATTACGGAGTTCTCGGTAGACAGGGCAGATGAGGAGGAAGAAGTACCACCTGAATATGTATTTCCTTTGTTTCTAACATCTAAAACTCAAGAAATCTTTTCTTGCAAAGTTGACAAAGATGTCACACCTGAAAATCCACTACAATTGATCAAGAAGGAAGACATCTTTTTGGACTTTAAGGAGAGAGCAGCAATCTCTGATTTCCACCCTGCTAAAAGCATTATACAGGTTTTTATTTTAAATTTTTAAATTCTATTGTAAGTGTAGTGCAAAAGACAGTCTACCTACTTCAAATTTTTTTAGATGCCAGTTTGATTTTGGTGTTGCAATACTTTTGTCCTGGTAGTGTGCATTGACATGAAAAGTCTGCTATTTGTAGACAGGAGGAGTTTGCCTTCACCTTATGACTTCATTAGTAACATTTAAAATAGGCAAACTGCACTGATTGGGCAACCTTAACATATTGGTCAAGCATGTGTCCTGGTTAGAGTGTTTGATTCATGTTCTGATGTCTTTACTCTGAACACTCAGTTTCATTAGATTTGCTTCTAAAATTTCAAAATTTGGCAGGAGGGGCTCTTTAATTTTACAAGTTTTTCAAGATGCAAAAATATTGGTTGTTATAATTTAGCTTCATTTGGATGAGAAATTTCTGCAACTTATTCAACAAACCTTTTTAGGATTATCCAGGTGAAGAGCTGTTAATGGTGTACGATCCTCTATTCAAGTATGGACAGAACTTCTTTTTAGTCACAACTGAAGATGGCAAGGAGCAAATTTTAAATGTGAGGAGATTTATTTTAGAGTTTGAAAATGTTTAAATCTGTCTAACATTTAAGAAAATTCTCTTGATGCTATGACTTTTCATTTTCAGCAAATTTAATGTATATTACATAATCAGAAATCATCTTGTAACCCTAAGACCTAGTCTAGATATCAATCAATCCGCTGATATAAATTCTTGGATGCTAAAAGGTTACAAGCAGATTTCCTCATTCACATTTCTGAGACAATCATTATGTCTTTTACTTGACTGATCATTGTCAAATATTTGTAATACCTATTATAAACCTATTAGAAAATGTGCTACTGCATCTTATGTTCCATTTTAATCCTACTTTTCTTTTTCTTTGTATTTCATCTTGTTCTCCCTTCTCACTGTTTCACAGTATCTGAATGCTTTTATACAATTTCCTGAGAAACAATTTCTTTGGCTAGATTTGCTTGAAATTTCCCTAAATTCTACTGATGTTTATAAAAATCTTGATGAGTGTATTTTAATTTACTTGGCTAGTATATGATAAGAAATTTAAATTTGAAAAGTATGTGATTAAAAATATTGGTTAAAGTTAGATTAATCTTAGAAGTTAGTATTTTTTAATTGGAATAATAGTTTCAAATCTTGATTTATATTATTGAATCGTCTACACGTAACAAAATTGTTTTAGCCTCCAGAGCCAATCACAGAAGTTGATCAATCATTGGAGTCTGTTCCACTTGTTCCAGTTCGAAAGTCGCCAAAGCCTTGGATTTCCCTTGGAAGTGAAGATGATATTCTTGCCCAAGGTGTGTTCAGCTCAAGAGAGAAGGTGAACTATCAAAGGTTTTTACAATCTATACAACCAACTGCTTTAATCTTCTCTAAACATTAGCTATGTTTACTGATAACAATAATTGGATCTTTGTATTATCATTTCTAAGGTGTCTTTCTGGATTCAGCGTAAACGGAAGGATTTTGGGGCTCAGGTTGATTTTTCAGACAGAAATTCATCAGAAGTGAAGGATAGTGCCATTGATTATCCTGGTTATGAAGATGAAACTTTTGATTTAAACAAGATGGAACTGGAAAAAGCAATTCAGGTACCAAATATGTTTTTGCTTATTGAAAACTATGTGCTATTTTGTTAATGATTTGCAGCTTTTGAGACTAGCAGTACTAATTTGAGGTGCATTTCACATGAAAACGGATAGAATCTTTAATTGCTATGTTTTCTTATTTTGTCTGGGTGTAGATAGGAATAAAAATGATGTCATACCAACAGTTTTGCCATTGTAATGAATTCTTAGCCTCAGTACTTTAAGAATTCAGATGAAAACTTTTTGCATCAAATTACTTCACACACATACAACAGAAACTTGAGCCTATCCTTGCAGTTTTTCAGTCTATCTTTTATTGCTCTAGATAAAAATCTGACTCAGCCATCCTTTCATCATAAGGGAATTTGAAAGCAACTGGGCTACCACAATGCAATATGCAGCCCTTGAGTGTGACAAACAGCACCTGTCTTTTCTCAAGTAATATATCTCCTGTGACTATCTAAGTGTCTGAATTAGGATTGGTCCCATAAGGAAGTTATTTCACTTTTTTCTCCAGAATGTTTCTACGAATGAAGATGCATCCAGCCAAACTGAATGGTATGTTTTCTTTAGCAAATACGGCTATAATTTCAATGTTCCTATTTTTTCTACTGCTGTACTGCAATTATTTAATGAAATTGAGTTCGTTTCCTGACTCTTTGAATATGCATAAGTCTTTTTAGAGTTTGCCAATTTATTTAGTTTTCCTCAAAATTGTGACTGAAAAAATCATTTGGCAGCTGTTTTTGGTCGATATTCAGCCTTGCTTTGAAGGATACAATGGCTGCCTAAACTGCTTGAACAAACCGCAAATCTGCGATGCTTTTTTACTGTTTCCCCCAAATATTATAACTTGCTCATTCTCCCCCTCCCCCAGAATAACTTCGATTTTAATACCACATCCATATCATACAAGGCACATGGAAAACGTTTCTCCCCATCACTTACCTCATTATAAGGAAAACTAACATTTCTCCCAGGGTGAGAGGAGGATGACTAAATTTGCTGTTGAATACAGACGTTAGTGTTCCAGGACTTATGGCAGAGATGTTCTCTAAAGCGTTTCGAAAACTGATATCTGCTGCTTTTTTGATAACTTCGAGCTCTCATAGGTTCACCTTTTAGTAAGCCGTCATTGTTTCTAGGGAATGGCTTTTTTGCCTTGGGAATATTTAATTTCCCGTCTAAATGTTTTTTCTTTGATATTTATATTGCTTTTTTCTTATCTTCTTTCCTGGCTTTTTTCTCTCTTCCTCTTCTTCATATAATTCTTATTCCTTTTCTTTTTATACCGCTCTTCTTCATTCCTTCTTCCTTTTTCTACTTTTTCGCTTTCCTCTTCTTCGTCGTTTTTTACATTTTACTTCTTCTTCATATTATTCTAATTCCTTTTCTTTATATACCGCTCTTCTTCATTCCGTCTTCCATTTTACATTTTTTTTTTCTCCTTTTACTCCTCTTTCTCTTTCCTCTTCTTCGTCATCTTTTACTTTCTTCTTCTTCTTCTTCATCTTATTTCAATCCCCTTTCTTTAATAATCCGCCCTTCTCCCCCTTCAAATTATTTTTCTTTCATTTTTCCCATCCTTCTCTTTCTTCTTCTTCATCCTTCTACTTCTTTCCTATCTTCTACCCAGGGGCGGCGCGGAGTGATATCAAATTGTTATTACCTCAAAAATAAACACCCCGTTAGTTATTTACCAGTGACTGTTGAAACGATTGTTTTAGAAACTATATATCTTATGTCAAAGTCCGTATATGGATATGTACGGATGGACCCAATAATCCGTGCCTTTGGGATTGGGTCTACGGGTAGGCTGGTAGCGTTTATAAAAGGTGTCTTTGGGGCCGATTAGACACCAGGGGCTCTTTGCCATCTGGTAAAGCCCCTTGCTATTAAAGGTACACTTTGCAATAGCAAGATTGCCACTGGTGCATTTGTTCCTTCCTTTAAGTGAGATATTTGTTTCCCCATGAGAAGTTTGTCTAAAAGATTATAAAAGCAGCATAATTATTAATGTGTAGGCGATTATATATTAAAAATAGAAATAAAAATGAAACAAACAAGTCACGGAAAAGAAAAAGTGCTAATCTAGTAATGTTATAAAAATACAGCAAAAAACTTCCAATAAATATCCAATAAAGACAGAAGGCCGCATTTACATAACCAAAATTGCCAAAATAAATATATACTTTATGACTGACTCACCTTAAATTCAATTTTATCTGAATCTGCTTTTTACTAACTTCAACATCGGGTTAGGACGTCCACCGAAGTCAATTTGCCTACATTTGCAAACAAAGAAGGAAGAAAACTATGAAACATCCTGTCTTACATCTATACAAGTAGACGCGATACAATTTGTTTTGTTTTGTATCAAGCTACTTCGTTCTTCTCGAGATGAGCACCTATCTGATCTCTTGCTATTAAATCTGAAATTTTAATAGCAAAGCAGCGATATTTGACTGAATCACCTTAAATTAGATGTTTGCATTCCTAACAATAGCCTAATAGCATGGCCGATCTGTGGCTGAAGAATGAGGCTCCTTTCATGCCGTGGTATAAAGGCTTTTGATGAAAGGTCTGCTGCGGCAACTTTAGTTCAATTGAATGAGGCAATTACAACTAGAACTATGGTTGAACATGTTTGTCTTCGGTTTTATCTTTCTTACATTACACAAGAAGTGACCTTGAAAAAGAATTGCTATTAAAGCAATAGCAAAAATAGCACTGTCCGCCGCTCCTGCTTCTACCTCTTTCTAATCTTTTTCTTCCTATCCCATTTTCTACTTGTTTTTCGATTTACATATTTTCAATTTCATATTTCTCTAGTCTTAACATGTTCTTTTTTCTCGGTAAGTAAACCTATTTGACACAAATAAATATCTAGGTTCTTGAATAGTCTTGTAGTCATATAAAACGCATTTTAATTATTGCAAAATTTTGTTTGTGCTTCTTTTTGAAATATTTTTCAATGTTTATCCTTACCTGGTGTCTTGAATTAATTTCAGTATTGAGTTAAATTTTATGTTGCAATTTTTACACATTTATCCTAAATATGATAGAGACCTTCCCTAAATATATCAATTATTTTAACTCCTTCTGTTTTTTGAGGAATGTTTTAATTTCCTATTGTATTTCAACAGGCCCAGACCGAGAAATGCGAATGTACAGTATGAGCCGAGGATGTTTACGCAAGATCAATTAGCAGGAATTATTGGTGCAAAAGGACTAAAGGATTTTGTAGCTGATGTTGCTGACAGGTAACAGTAAAAAAATTATTTCCTTGCTCAGCGCAAGAAATATGAAAATATTTTCTTGTTACAATGTTTGTTGTATAGATTTACGAGCGCATTTTATATTGACTCTGTAGTAAGATAATCTTATAGCAGCGTCTGCTTTAACAGTCTTTGCAGAATTGTCTATTGAATGTCCTCATTATTGGTTGCATCGCCTGTATCTTGCATCTTCTGTATCTGGCATTGTCTGTATCTTGTCTGTATCTTGCATCTTCTGTATCTTACATCTTCTGTATCTTACATCGTCTGTATCTTACATCGTCTGTATCTTGCATCTTCTGTATCTTACATCTTCTGTATCTTACATCGTCTGTATCTTACATCGTCTGTATCTTACATCGTCTGTATCTTACATCTTCTGTATCTTACATCTTCTGTATCTTGCATCTTCTGTATCTTACATCTTCTGTATCTTGCATTTCTGTATCTTACATCGTCTGTATCTTACATCGTCTGTATCTTGCATCTTCTGTATCTTACATCTTCTGTATCTTACATCTTCTGTATCTTACATCGTTTGTATCTTGCATCTTCTGTATCTTACATCGTCTGTATCTTGCATCTTCTGTATCTTACATCGTATGTATCTTGCATCTTCTGTATCTTACATCGTCTGTATCTTGCATCTTCTGTATCTTACATCGTCTGTATCTTACATCGTCTGTATCTTGCATCTTCTGTATCTTACATCGTCTGTATCTTACATCGTCTGTATCTTGCATCTTCTGTATCTTACATCGTTCTGTATCTTGCATCTTCTGTATCTTACATCGTCTGTATCTTACATCGTCTGTATCTTGCATCTTCTGTATCTTGCATCGTCTGTATCTTACATCGTCTGTATCTTACATCGTCTGTATCTTACTGGTAGATTCGAACTTGCTCTGCAACACAACGAGACAATTGATATATTTGTCGATGATTATTTTCTGCTGACTAACGAAGACAGTACATTTGGTTCAAAATCAGACAACCATTTAAAAGTAAGTTTACAAAACATTTCGTTGTTTCAGCTTTGTAAACGTTTTCCATAAATTCGTTTAATGATCTCCGATAAAGTAGTATAGGAGATTGTTAGATAAACCAATTTTTCACAATCAGTTTTCTCTTTTCAAAAGAAAATATGCTCATTGCAATGTATTCAATGTAGGCTGCTAACGATTTACATGCACGCTAGACACGCTGGACGAATAGTTGCGTCAGATACGGGAGGGACACACAGATACAAAGAATCAGTTTTGCCTTCGAATTATAAAGAAATATATTTATGCATTTCTTTATCACCTTGTTTGCAATCGTTTCAGGAATACCAATCCTTCACAGACCTGAAATTCAGCAAAAACAAAGCAATAACAAAAATACAATGGCATCCAACAATCAGAGGTTCGATTTTCTATGCATCGTTTTCTTTGATTCTGTAGCAGTTCTGTAAGCAGGTGCATTCATTTTAAGGCTAGTTGACTCTAAACCGTCTCTTTTTCAAGACATGTCCTCTTTTCTTTTTAATGCATTATCTTAGAGACGAAAGGCTTTACGTTTACCGGGCGCTGTGTGTCTTTTTGTAATGTCTTTAACAAAAGCCTCTCATTTTTCCGAGATTAAATAGCAATTTTCGTTACATCGCTTTCGACACCAGTGTCTCAACATTGTACACTTGGTATTCTGCACATTCTGTAATATAGGGTGCTTGTTTCTGAAGGGCTAGTATTATCATGATCCATTTCATATATATTTGAATAATTGTTCAAGTTAGATGCTTTCTTTGCTTCAGGGTTAATCGCAGTATCTTGTGCAGAGCAATTATCCTTCGATGAAAGAATTGATCATTGTTCTCGTATTCTTATGAACCCCAGCTTCATTCTTCTTTGGAGTTTCGCAGATCCCATTCATCCTCTGGTAAGATCTTCTTTTCTAAAGCCAAGGTTGATTTTGACTTTAATTGTTCCATGTGTTGCTGCGCCAACATTTTATTTTCAGTGAACGAGATTTTTCTTAGTTGAAAGTCTACACCGGCAGCTGGCTCAGCTCAGCACACAGTGCCCATTATTATCTTTAAGCTGCGAATTTTCTTTTCAGCTGCTGATGGAGGCCCCTGATGACATTCTCTCCTTTCAATTTAATCCTTCTAATCCAAATGTGATTGCTGCTGGCTGCATCAATGGCCAGGTTTGTTCGACCCATAATTATGTAGGAAGGCAATTAAATCATTTCTTAGACCTGCTGATTTTTTGACATCTCTCGCATATGCATTACCTTCCCAAGTCGTTTGCAGAAACAAATCAAAATTGTATATTTTGCAATAAATTGTTATCGAATCATTCCTAGCTTCCTTTTTTGTTTACAAAATCTGCTGATTACTGCACTACGTCTAAATCATCTCTATCTTAATAGCGGTTTCTTTAAGAATGTTTTTTAAATGTGCTGTAAGAGTCATCGATTGTCGAGCATTTTTAAACTATTTGTCTCTGAAAAAGATGTTATTCTTGAGATGGCCTACAAACCTTTGCTGCTGCTGCTCGAAAATTTATTTCCGACACTTCTTGTAGAAATATATGTGAAAATTAGTGAATTTTTGTAACTTCTAAAATTCTAGATCGTTGTTTGGGACATAAGTCAGTATTCAGAAAGACTTTTGAATCATCGGAACCAAGCCCAAGTGCAAAGCAAACAGTCCAGAACAACCCTAGTAAGACCATTTTGCCGCATGAAAACTGTAAAAATCTGTAAAAAGCTTTTTAAACACTCGTTACCTTGTCAATGCCTTGCGTTTTCTATTTAGAATGTGTTATGGCAGGTGTATTAAGCCAAATGCGCTCTGTCGTAGGACCACCTTGATTTTACTCGCCATTTAAATATCCGAGCATGTCTGCTGATTTGAAAGAGAATTAATGCTAATTTTGTGTCTTGGAAGAGGAATTCAAAATTTCATAATTTTGCGATTTCATGAAAACAGCATTATAGCAAGATACTGCAATTCGAATTGTTGTGGCCTTGGCAAATGGCAGCATTGCAGGGACGAAAGGTGAGGGGCGAAGGAGCAGCCTGCCTTGCCTCACCAAGCTTTTGGTCCTAAAAATGTTTACTAAATTGCACCTCTATTGTAATTGGATCTCACACGGGACACTTTTCAAAAGAACTATTTTTGATTTTTAATTGATTTCTAATTTTCCATTTTTATGTTTGTAAAACTCCAATTAAAGCCATTCGTAGTTTTTGACCCTGTCAATTTGCAGCCGTCATTTTTGAATTTAAACAAGCAAGAACTGTCTCCTGTCGTTCGCTATGGTGCAGTTTCGAACATTGAACACAGCCACAAAATGGCCATCACTGACATTCAATGGGTTCCAGATCACATTGAGGTTAGAATAACATTTTTGAACAATTTCAAATATTTTTTTATGTTCCCGTTTTTAGTTCTGAGCTTCAGCCTATTCTCGTACAAATATTTTTCCGTTTGTATTCCTAAGTAAAATTTGCAAATGTCCGTGATCTCTTTTCTCGTTTCTAAACTTATATTCTTTTCTGTATTCTCATTGATCTTTTAGATCGGTAGGATGGGCATTGTCGTAGAAAATAGGCCAGCTCAGTGCCATCAGCTAATTACTGCAGCATCGGATGGGTATGTGCTTTTTATAAACAACGTTTTGTAACAGTTTTAGATCTATCTTTATACTTTCTGTAATTAGCTTCATTGCAATGTTTCCTTCGCCATCGTTATGAGGTCATATTCTCTCACAAGATAACTTTGTCGTTCTTTCCACCATCTTGTGCATTGTATTTGAAGCGGTTGCTGATGAATTTCTTGCTACAGACACACCTGCCAAATACGTAGAGAAATGTTTTTGCAATCGTACTTCAAGGGACCAGCTGGAAATCATAGGGCAGTCTTGATCTCTTCCCCGTCAACGACCATTCTCGAAAAGGTTTTTTTACAGAAAGGGGCGATTTCTTTTTTCATACATACTTTGATATTGAAATTTTATTTCTATAAAATTGCTACTCTCAATATCATTTCTATTTGCACAAGTTGAAGATATGATTTTTATACTTGTCTTGGCTAGAAACATTGACACATTCTGTTGTGCTAGAAACGATTAATGAGATGGCTTGAAATTTGCTTCGGAATAGGAAAAATTGACAAGAAAGAGTACCCTTCCTAAGACATTATCTATCATTTAATTAGAATATCTTCAAGTTATTTCATATGAATCATTTATTGCCTAGCCAAATTCTGTTTTGGGACACGCGACCGAACAAGACGGCAGTTGCCAGCCAAATGTCAGGAAATGCAAATGATGTGCCAGTTGGCAGCTTAAAGCATCTTGATCTCACTTGGAAACCGTTTCTCAAGGTAATAAGCATCACATCTTATTGTAACCGCATCACATCTTATTGTACCCGTTAACTTATTGAAAAATTGCTGTAGAGAATAGACGCAAGATCGCTTTAATGACGGTGGTATCAAATTTTAGCACTGCATAGGCATGTTAAAGCAAGGTTGATCTGACATCAGTACTGTAACTGACCTGTCACCGGTATTGTACCTAATAAAATCAGATAACATTTCTGCCTATAAGCTTGGTTCAATTTTGATACAGATGCAATGAGCATCACCTTGCAAGTCGAAATGTTGTATTCCCTGCTCATGAATAGCTGAATTTTGCCATGCTTTCATGATTCTTCTGATCATCAGCAATTGTTATAGCACTTAAAAGGTCGAAATATCTATACAATGAAGCTCTGAAAATGAAAGCAAAATTTCATCAGAAGAGCACGAGATCATCAGCATCAAAAAAGACCCATGTACAGAGTGCAAGAGGCAGGACCTCATCAAGTCTTAGAAGAAGAGGAACCAAAACTTGTAATGAATTTCCTGGGTCAATAAATGAAATATTTACAATTCAAAACCAGCCTTTTAACATCGATATTTTCATATTGTGTAATTTTAAACTCTAATGCACCATTTATGCAAATCTTTTTATTTATGCAAATATATTTTGAAAAGATATAGAGCAAAGAGAAACTAAATCCCGATTGACCAAACTTCAGCGCCTTCTATGATATTTTGAATTGCAACTTCAGAAGCTACACGTGGTTTGAAACAGGTGGCAATTGCATCTTCAGCTTCTTCTAGTATGCTCTGTAAGCTGTCTCCTTCAATTCATGTGCATATCAGGTGCATATCACGTGATCTGTTGGTCTTTCATCGTTTTTCCAGTTTGCATATATCCATAGCATCCTTCGATATAATGTTCTTTTCAGTCAATTTAACCAAAGCTGACAGACTAATTTACATAGACAAGGCACCTCCTGAAAGTCGTGCTTTCAGACAACTTTCCATCAATTGGATCGATCAGGACCATTATCGTCCAGTATGAATAGGCCTATCATGACTATAATAATGATCTGACGTCGCCGTTTTTTGTGCATTTTCTTGACGCTCTCTTTTGTCAGCAAACGTTTCTCTAAACTGCAGAAGTCTAAGTGCTAGAAATGTGACTGATGCGAAGGAATCTTGCTTACAATACTTGTACTTAGATTTGCAGGTATCTAACCTATCAGATCTTGTTTGTATGCAGATCTTCCTAATGTGACCTTACTTTTCCCTTTTGGTTTAAAATATCACGGAAACCTATTACCGAAAGATCCTAATTCACAGCACCAAAACATCCTTCAAGACACCAGATTTATTGCAGTCAGACTTATCTGTTTCTGACTTAGGGCCAAAATCCTAATTCACTGCACCAAAACTCCCTGTAAGACACCAGGTTTATTGCAGTCAGACTTATCTTTTTCTGACTTAAGGCCAAGATTCTAAGTCACTGCTCCAAAACACCCTGTAAGACACCAGGTTTATTGAGACACTACTCCAATCACTTTTTTAGCTTATTTGTGTCTCTATGTTAAGTGTAAGTCTTAGGGTTGTTATGCATTTCCATGCTCCCTAGGCTTCTGTATTGTAATTGTTGTCGTTGTAAATTTTTATGAGAATATAAAAAAAAGGTTCATTGCAGTCAGACTTATCTGTTTCTTACTTAATGCCAAGATCCTAAGTCACTGCTCCAAAACACCCTGTAAGACACCAGGTTTAAGGCCAAATGGATAATTCTGTGAAATTTCCCGCTTTTTCGTGCTTTTTTCAAATTTTGGGGTTCCATCAAAAACGTATTTTGCTTTTTTGTTATAAACTCTAGAATTTCGAAATTTCAATCTAAAAATCTGAGTGACGCTGTTTTCTTACCATCTGACACTCTGAATGACACTCTAGGTTCAAGTTCGACAACTCAAAGGCTCAGGGGACCTTAGCGCTGTCAGATTTTCAATTTCGGAAAGACAGGGTGACAGAAACGAAGGCAAGTTTTTGGTTTTATTCGTTCACTAGTATTGCATTCCTGTTACTGTTTGTTGTGTAGTTCTATAGAATGTTGTAATTTGGCTTTTAAGTATTTTGTTCTCAACTTGTGTAACATTTTTTTCTTGTTTTTGATAAACCAATTCTACATTGGACTTTAATAGCACGATAAGAAAAATAGATCTCAACCATTACTTTAAGGATCAATTTCAAGAAAAAGACTTATCCGAACTACCCAGTTTAAACTGGGATTATTAATGAACAACATAGAAGAAAACTTATTCGAACTACCGGATTAATCTGGGATTATCGATGACCAACGTAGAACGTACCTTATCCGAACTACCCAATTAATCTGGGAGTATGGACGAGCAACGTAGAAAGTAACTTATTTGAACTACCGGATTAATCTGGGATTATCGATGAATAACGTAGAAGAAATCTTAACCGAACTACCGGATTATACTAGGATTATTGATGAACAACGTAGAAAAATGCCAGGCAAAACATAGTGATTTTAAACCTGTTACTATGTTCAATATTGAATGTGCAAAGATGAAGAATATATGGTCATTGCGATTGTTTCTCTACGAAGCAGATAAATCAAAGCAAGAAGACGATGTGGAGGAGCTAGGGCAGCCTTTTGATCGAAAGCCGTCGGTAGGACTCGGCCTAGGAAGGAAAAAAGAAGAAAACAAAGTTCTTGAAAATGTCAACTCAAAGTTCTACGTGGCAACTGAGGTATTGAAATAATGTTTTGTCACTAACACGTGTAATTATTTAATTTTTTTCACTGTTACCATGCATTATTACAACTGAGAGCTTAAATTATACTCCTGCTTGTCATGTCTGATTGCATTTTGTTCGCTTCCTTATTCTGATTGGGAGCTTGAACGCTTCTTTTAGGATGGTGAGCTTGTTTACATCGACTGGAAGTTAAGCAAAGATATAGATACGGGAAAAGTTGTTTGTAAGTAGAATACATCAATTTAACCACCTTAACTAACTATTATCACCAGCTCCTTGCCACCTTAACATATTTCACATCACATCCCCTTTGCACACTTTAACATTGTTGTGAGAATTTTGTTGTTGTTGTTCCTCCCAGCTCCGAGGCCAGATCTTGTCCTTGATGCTCATGACGGTCCAATCACGGCGATAGAAAGATCGCCATTCTTCAAAGATGTGATTTTAACGGCTGGTGGATGGTCCTTTGCTATTTGGAAAGAAAAGCTGACCGTGAGCCTAATAAATTTTTTTACCTGTTCTCATTATACGAGTTCATCGAAACACTGAAGTTCAAAATTGCTACAATTAAACAATAATAAAAGTAATAGCTAGGCCCAAACTTTATCAAAAGTACAAATCTGTGTATTTATTGCAATATCTAAACTGCCAAATTTTTTGAACTCTTTTTTGCAACAGTGAACGGTGTTATTTGAATGCTTCTTGACTGTACTGCAATGCGGCTTTGAACTTTATTTCTCTTTTTCAAATAGCCCACCCCCTCTATTCCTGCCCAAATTATTTTTATTTTCCAGGCTTTAATGATTACATGCCCGTATAATGATTTATTAGAATTAATGTTACTAACTTATATCAATCACATCATAACTTGTATCATATCAATGTGACTAAATTGTATCTGTTATGTTTCAGCATGGTCCATTACTGGTGTCAAGCAGCCATCCAGTCAAACTAACAGCTGCTGCATGGAGTCCTTCCAGACCAGGTTAATTCAGGCAGAATCTAGATGCACTTAATCTTTTAAAAGGCTAACTGTATTTCTGTAATTCTGTTGGGATTTACACAAAATGGTTTCAACTAGCAACAAAGTCAGTTTATCCACTAATTGCACTAATTGCAATCAATCTTAATCTGTAGTATTTTAAGCTTGTGCTCTACATAAAGTTTCAATACAGCTGCAACAAGATTTGTGTATCTTTTTCATTTAGGGGGCCTCTAGGCTACTTTAGCTGTTTACACTTCACAACTGTTGCTACATTAGGCAACTTAACGCGTATTTTCCTTTTATAATGTTTTCCTCCCGGCTTTGTCCTTTCAATGGCAAACTTGCCAAATCATGCAAACCCAGATTTCTGTGTCTAGTTCAATGAAAGCGTCAGCTGCTTTGCTCCCTCTCAATGTCAGTTTCACTTACATTCCCAGCACTTGCTTTCATTAATGGATCAGAAATCAATGTGCGTTTTTTGAATGACTTTGCATGGCTAACGTTATGTATGCTAACTGGTATCTAATATTCTACAGCTGTATTCTTTATCGGCAAATCCGATGGAAGTGTGGACGTTTGGGATCTCCTTGACAAGTAAGTGCTGCTCTCTTTTGATTGCAGAACCAATGTAGCACAAACATTTAAACCATTGCAGTGTGTTAAGAAGGATTGTTAAAGATCGATGTAAAGTTCTCACTGTGCAAGTGACATCTGAGTATCTGTTGTTTTGCAACTACTACAGTGCTTACAGAAGAGTACAGAGAATGGCATTAAACAATATCCTTTATGGATAGTCTTGTTTTGCCGGTTCCCCAGAGATTTGGGTTCATGTTATGGGCTAAGAGCGATGGCTGCAAATTCAGTTAAGAATTACAGACTGTTTGTGTTTATGCTGCCAGGACGTAGTCTTGGCGACCAAACAGCCAAGGTAAACCCAAGTAGGGTAAACATTGCAGGGTGAAGTAAAGGAGTATTTGGTTTTCTATGAGCAGTACATCTCCTTCTCGTGTTCTACCGCTGGTTCAATATAAGAGTCAACTTAGCAACGACGACATTTACGTATTGTTGGGGATTGTATTTCTCCACTAGCTCTTCTGCTTGTTTATTTCAACACACCATGTCAACAACTATGACAACTCCAATATTTAAATACTAGTTGCATGCTAAACAATATGGTAAAGTATTCATTAATGGATTAAAGTCGACGAATCAAGTGAAGGCTGCAAATTCAGTTAAGAATTATAGACTTTTTGTGTTCATGCTGTAAGAACCTAGCCTTTGCGAGCAAACACCCAAGTTGAACCCAAATAAATAAAATGGTGGATGCAAATACGTTCTGTTATATGAATTTCATTGCAGAGTACTGCTGGAAATTTGTTTACAAGGGGACAAGGGGGTATTTGCGCCCGTATGTGTATTTTCAAATGCATTTCATTTTTCTTGCCTTTTCAGAACCCACGAGCCTTTCCTTAATCAAAGTGTTACTCCAGTTCCTATACAAACAATCTTTCCTTATCAAGTCTCAAGTAAGAGTTATTTGTATTTCATACATTCCAACTAAACCGAGACTAGCTTCTATTACTTCTCACAAAGTGGTTTCTTCATCTTAAGCATAAGATTTCAAATCATGGCTTGTTTTGCTATTTTTCCTGCAATTTTTTATGGAAGGAAATTCATTATGGATTTTGATCTACGTATGATTTTTATCATTGGTTGCTTGGTCGAGAGACTCGAATTTTCACTTTGATTAAATTTACATTAAATTTACATTATTGCTTTAATGGTGCTATTCATTTTCACTATAATTTAGTATCTCGCAATGACCTAATCTTTAGAAATAATGTAAGTACACATTTACGGCCTAACCTTTTCTAGGCAAACAGCAATTGCTGGCAATTGGTGATAAAATTGGAACACTGCACATATTTGAAGTGCCATGGAATCTGCGACAACCATCTTCTAATGAAGTATGATCTATTCATCTCTCGACAAAGAAATATAATTTTAATTTTTCTTACTTATTGTCTATTCAACATATACATTGTGTTTGCTATGTTGAAATATTTCAAAAATTGAAATTGTGAAGCTGTCCGTACAGTGTAAGTTCGTACGGAAATCATTTTCAGTCCACTATTTAATAACAATCAATTTCTCCAAATTTGCTTTTCTTTCTGTTTCATGAAGCTCTTTGCTTCGCTGCATCCTTAAACAATCTTTTCAATCCTGTTGCAATCCTTCAATTCAATCCTGTTCAAATCCAAGGTGACGAGTGTTGACAACTATTTCGAAAGAGAGGCCAGAAGACTAGCCTTCCTTGAACAAAGAGAAAGGAATGCTGACATGGACAAAAAGGAAGTCAAGAATGAGATATCGAATAAGGTATGATTTCTCTAAGCCATCTTTAGGCTAGAATCCTTCTTAATTTTCAGCACTTGATTACTGTGTAATTCTTAAGGGGCCATGAGAAGGGACTAAGGAGAAGGGACGATGCTCTTCATTTTATATATAGAATACGTAATGATTTTGTATCTTGATTGTAAGCATTTTCACCCAACTATAAACAAAGAAGATACCTTTCAACCAGTGGTTATGATGGATTTACTCGAAACTGTGTCTATAAAATACCCAGAATTTTCATGCCAAAGGAATCACGGTTCTTCATGCTTCTTTGGCTTATAAATTTATCTCAAAACTTTAAAAATGTTCAAGTTACTGAGATTGCTAAGGCCAAACCCTGAAACTTATGTTCTTTTGCTTCTTTTTAAGGGGCTTTAAATGGAGAAAGTAAGGTAATCTATAAACAAGGCAATATCAATCATTATTTGTTCTTCTTTAGGTGAAATTGGTTGAAGAAGACTTGGAATGGGAATCGAAAGCCAGATCTGTAAGTCTGTTGCTATCCAAATTTTTCCATTCGCCATAGTGTCGTTTCTTTCGCAGGACCTCTCGTGCTGTACATAATACAGCTTTGCTAATATCCAGTATTCGACTGGTCCTAAATTCATCAAGTGACCTTACAACAGTGTTTTTGTGTTGGCTCTGGCTCGACAACTGTGTCTAACAGTACGTCGTTTCATTAATCATTCATTTTGTCGTGTATTCTTAACCATCCACCAAAATCAAACAGGCCAAATATTTCGGGTACGAATCCTCAAGCGAGAGGAAGTAAAGAGGAATGTGGATAAGAACCAGCTTTTATGAAAATGATAGTCATACTAAGGGAGGGGGGCTAAAATTACTTAGGAAGGGTGCCTGAAAGTACTAAGGAAGGGGGGCTGAAAGTACAGTGAGGTGCTAGTTCCTTTCCATGCAGCTGCTCGCTTTTAAAGAATAAAACATTATCTAAATCGCACCAGGGAGAGACACTTGTTAACTCGTTAACTCGAACATATGCCTGACTTTTGACGCTATATTTCATCTATGCATATTTCTTTGTAATTATTGATAGCGAATTTATCGTAGAGTCGTTTTATCATGCATTACTTTTCAAAAATCAGTGAAACTGTAAGCCTCTGATGTGAATAACTGCATTTCGCAAATAATAATTTGATTGTAACCGCACCATGGTTTCTTTTCTGCTAGGCCTATCAAGACTACATGGAATTGGAAAGGCAAATCCTTGAAGAGCTAGGGCTAAATTCAGATCGAAACAAAATCGACATGACATGAATTTTCGTTATTTTCTTTGTTTGTACCATATTCCCTTATATTTCTAATTCTTATTCTAATTCTTACCTACCCTTCATTGTTCTAAACGTGTATGTAATATCAATCAAATATTTACTTTGTTTACTTGAAGAGAAAAGATTTGCAAGCAGTCTTACCATCACGGTTTAACCTTCTTTCTTATTTTTTCTTTTCAATAAAATCAAACTATCTACATATCGAAGACACTAGTGTTCAAAGTCAGCAATAAAAGTTGCTGAAACACTTGCTCGTTATAAATATTTTCTCCCTCGCGGCTAAAAATTCCTCCCACGCGGCATCCGCTAAACGTTAGTTTTCGACCATAAACTTGGCATTAAATTGCTGATGCAAGAATAGATAAAATCAAGCTTTGAAATTATAAATATTTTGAATGATCAAACCAAGACTCGATTAAACCAAGCTAAACATTATATGTTTTTTCACTGGGACGCACCGCGACTGGGGTCGTTTCGCAACGCGAGACAGTCAAAAAACGCACCGCGACTAATTGGACGATCTAGTGCCTCTAGTTTTTTCACATAACAACGAAAAGCTGGAACTGATGAAGAAGGAGGATTACTTTGTTTGCAGAAAATCAACGAATATTTGGAGAGCAAGAGAAAATGCCATTACTCCTAATAAATAGGCTAGTTAGCTGGTTTGATATTAATCCAAAAATATTAGTTTAAATGATGCATTGAGTCTCGAGATGTTCTTGGCATCGTTGCAGCATCGGATCTATGTCCATGAACTTCATCAGGCCTTTCTTCAAGTCTTCTATTCCATATCTGCACTGTTTTTCATGAATGACGGCTAAGTGATTGATATACGTTGAAGCATATCTGAGTGTTTTAATTTTCGAGAGAGACCTATCTTCATTGCCATAAGCAGGTACCATTTTTCGCAGTCTTTCAAAGGCGTCATTCAGTTCAGCTACTCGCTTTCTTTCCAGCCAATTCGCAAGTGCTCTACTTTTCTTGCCAATCGACTTTTCCTTCGCTTGCCTTAGCATTAGCCGTTTTTCTTTGCTTTTTACATTTTGATAATTAAGAAATGTTGGGCTGTTTGCAAGGATATCTCCAGTTTCACACTGTTTCATGTCATTTTGTAAATTTACTAAATTATACTTCGTTTCCTCGTCGAAATCCGTTACCGACGAAAGTTCCTTATTTGCTATGTCTTCGTCTGGATACGCGTTTCTGTCTAATCGTACATTCGTGCCACTAGAGCTATTTACAATGCAGTCAAACTGATCTTCATCTTCTACTGGGCTCTCTTTTCCATGTTTCCAGTGTCTTTTCTCTAATGCAGTTCTTCTTTGTTTTGGTCTGTTCAAATCTTGATCATTTGAAAAAAATTCTTCTTCAGTGTCTACTTTTAAAGGAAGGGAGCTTCCAAATTTTCTTTCTTTAACCATTGCAATATGATTATTCCCTTTGTTGTTGTGGTTGGATTTCGTTTTTACGATTTCTTCGCCCTCTTCTATTTTGCAAACAATTCTTTCAGGTTCATGAAATCTGTCGATATCTTTAACTTCCACATAATCAACATGGCCAAAATCTGAAATTGTCCTTGAAATTTCCTGTATGCATTCTGGACATTTGCAATTACTCGACCTGACAATCAACGTCGTTTCTTGCCTTTTCTTAATAACTTTTTTACCTTCATCATCATGAAATTCTTTGACATGGTCTGAACATTTTTTCGTGTCTCTTGAAAACCCTCTGTACTTGGTTCCATTCCTCCTTTCCAGATCAGCTTTAATATCAGGCTCGATATTAGCCGGCCTATCCCAATATTCTTCTTTCATTTCTTTATATTGCCCTTTTATTTCTGAGCTTTCTTGATCTAGTGATGTTCCATGTTCCATCCATGAATGTTTATTATTCGTACCATGCCCTTTAACTTTCGCTACGTCGCAGTTCCAGTGACCACGCATTTTCCTTTCAATCAAATATCTGGCTGCTCCTTCTCCAGATATTCGTCCCGGCACGACGTGCATATCTTCGTTGCATGAAAATTTCCGATCACGTGACTCTGGAGAGCTGCTCATATAAGGTTTGCCAAAGTAATGCTGCTTTGACGAAGGCTTATACATGTTAAAGCGTTTTGGTTCCACATTGTAACAATGACCGTGGTTGTTGTTGCTTTTGCATTCGAATGAGGCCTCATTGAGAACCCTGAGCTGAGGTCCTTCCAGGCACTTTTGACAGTTACATGCGGCTGGGATTAACGCGACAGGTCTTCGAATTACACAAACGCTGTCTCTTTGAATAAACGACTCTTTCTCATTGCGAAAATTGTGCAATGTTTCCACATCGCAATCAGAATCCTGTACAGTCATATACTTTCGCAACTTATTCAAGAACATTTCACTTTTTGCAGTTCTTTCCTTGCCATGTAACCGATCGTTTTCAACTCCACATTTTCTTGGCACCCAGGCCATCTCCTTCTCCTCGGGCGCCTCAGCGTTGTCATCGCTACAGCTCTTCATTGTCCTTTTACACCTGCCTTCTTGTTGTATGTTTCCCACACTTTCATTTCTTCCAGATTCATCGGTGTCATTTTGCACAAAAGGATATTGAACAAAGCTAGCTTTATTTAATTTCTTTGGTAAGAAGATACTGGTTCGCAATCTTTCTGCTCTTCCATTTTCGGCTGAAATAAATAGGATTTGAGTATCACTTTAAATCATGCGCAATTTGAGCACTCAACGCAAATATTTTGCATAAAGCTACCAAGGCAAGGCTAAAAACCAAAATGTGGATATCAAGAAGATGTTTAAACAGAAAAGGCAGTTGCGCATAATTCAATGAAAAGAGGACAACATTTTTTATTATTAGCAACAGGGGCGTCGATTATTAGCTGGGGCAGGGGAAATGTGCCCCCCCCCCCTCCTACACTCGACCGTTCGGCAATTTGTCGGAAATTTTTTATCTGTTCGGCAAAAGTATATTTGTATTTTATAGAAAAGCAGGTGAGTTCAAAGGAACTAATCAGTATAAGTAGAAGATATGAACAGATAAAGTTTTCTGAAGATAGTAAAACTCGTGGTTATTTATTGTACAGTCTGCCTATCCAAATTTGTACATTTGTACAGGAAATGGCAAAATTGCAAATTGGTATTACTAAGTACGAATGAATTTTTTTAAATTTTAAGTGTGTAAAAAACAGGCTGCGATCAACAATAGGCAAAGAAAGGCTGAATAAATTTTGAGCTTGACATATTTGACACTCAGTTATGATGGAGTAATTGGCGAGTTTGCTGACACACCATTGCTAAGGAGACTTGAAATCGTCCACTTATGCACTGAAAATCGTCCAGTTCGTTATTTTAGATTCTTAAGATATTATGCGAGTTTTAATATTCATCACAGATACTGTTTGCTGATGATTATCCAATGTTCGAATACGGATGCTGGCTGTTCTCTGAATGACTTATTGAAAGCAGCAAAAGTGAAGCAGCAAACGTGAAGCTGCAAAAGTGAAGCAGCAAAAGTGAAGCAGCAAAAGTGAAGCAGCAAAAGTGAAGCTGCAAAAGTGAAGCTGCAAAAGTGAAGCTGCAAAAGTGAAGCTGCAAAAGATACATATTGTTTGTCATGTCTCACTGCATTATAAAACCTGCGCATGCGCTTGATCACGTCAACATTTAAATTCAAACCCGTTGTCGGAAAATTTGCAAGCTGGGCCCTCCCGCCCAAATGTTCATATTTTGCAAAATTACAAAAAAACCAACAGCTGGCATCTTTGTACATCTATTAACGTGACTGAATGTTTTTGGAAACTTAAACAATACCCTTCAGTTTATTCAAAACTTTCAACTGAGAGCCCTTTTGTTAAAGGTTTCAAGATTGAAATTTGAGAAAATGACGTATTCATTGGAATATATAAAAAAATTAACAGTACCCTACCCTGACTTTCAAAATTTGAAAGGGGGAATATGTTTTTGTTTTACTAAGAATCGGGAAATTTTACTGGTCAATCAACAATTTAACTGACGATATGAAGTTTTCCCTGCAAACTCGAGGAAACTTGGCTTCTCAAGTTCGCATTACCTTTGAAACGAACATGGTTCTCTTGAAACTTAAAATAAACCTTAAAGAATTACTGGTGGTCTGAAATCATAACAAGATATTGCGGGCTCGATAGCTGCTCGAAGCACCCCTTGCCAACTTGCTCCCCCCCCCCCTACCAACTCGCCCTTACCAACTTGCCACCATCCCAACCTCTCATGCTCCCCTTTACGAACTCGTTCCACCTTAAATTCGATGATCAACTCAGAAACCTTAGAAAATGAACCTTAGGAATAACAAAATTGCGTTGTAGGTAAAAAGTTTATCTTGTGACATTACTATTTAGACTTTTTGAAAAATTTGTCTTGCAAATTAGAACCAATTGCCTTTTTAGGTGTTGATTCCAGAACTAAAATCCTTGCCAGAATTGGAAACAAACAAGCAAGTCTAAAACTATCTTCTCAATATTTTCCGGTTGTTTCCATAATTTTGACCCCGCTCTACTCGCAATGTGGATTTATTTTCTCAGTTCTTTCGTACAGCTTTCAGTTGTAAAATTTTACCTTCAAAACGGTGAAATTTAACAAATCTGTGATTGGGGGTAGGGTGTTTTTTTTTAAAAAAATTTAACTTTTCGCAATTGTTCCAGCAATTTTGGAAAGGACTAAAGCGTTTTCTTTTATCTGTAGCCCTTATAATCTTAATCAGAATAATGTTATAATCATTTGTTTATTGACGGGAAAATTTTTAATTTCTGGTCAGTTTTGATGATCATAAATCAATATTAATCAATTAATTAATTAAGAATTGATTAGCTTCTCAACTCAAGTTTGGGCACAAGGAAGAAACATAGAAACATAGAAATGTGGTTTTGTACAATTTTAAAAGGAATAAACATGGTCGTAGCTACGAGGGACGTGGGATTGTTTCAACCATGTCCCTTCAAAAAACGTATAATGTATCATGTAGTTTTGTATAAATGATAATTGATTCAGTCACAGGCGTAGGAGCAGGTAGCCCAAGGGATAATGCCATCCACTTTTCAGAAACAGAAGAAAATTACGTATTTGCAGCTCGCAAAGGTACCCCTTTTTGCCTACATGTGCACTTTCTCCCTTTGCCAGCGTTTTTTAATAGCTTTATTCGGCTATTGCTCGAGTTCTGTTTTCTGATTTGCAAATCCCAAAACCAGGTTTGTTGAGCATTCAATTTGTGGAGCGATCAGTTAGATAAAGTATTTTTTTTGTATTCAGCTTGCTGCCCCAACATAGTGAATTTCCCTTATATTTTGAAATAGCTGCTTTAAGGCCCGGCCAAACGAAAAAAACATCCGTAAAACATTGTCAACATTTTTGTACCAACATTGTTAGACGATGTTTTATGACCTGGCCAAACGAATCAAACAACTGTTAAAACATCTGTGATGTTCAAGCGCTGCCGCACAGCTTTTTACAGTTACTGCGTTGTATTTGCTGCAGTTTAACCTATTGCGCTTGCGTGCGTAAAACAAATGTTTGAAGGGGTGGCCGAACGAACGCAATATTGTTGATCAAGCATGAGAACAAAAAAGATGTTTTACCAAATGCTTGATGGAAATAAAAATTTTCAAAACATCATAAAACATCGTACAACATGGTGGCCAAACGAATAAAACACGATTTATGCAACAGTGTTGGATGATGTTTTATGCCGATGTTTTATTCTTTTGGCCAGGGCTTAGGCTCATTGTTAAAAATCGTATTGTTATGGTACCTAACATGAAGAAAATTCAAAGTTAAATCTTTGTCAACTCTAAGCAACGTTGTTGTTGAAACTGCCAACTGTTGAAAAGTTTTTCTCTGCAAATCAGGGCTCTACCTATCTCGAAAACACTGCATTGGTGTAGGTTAAGGGCCGTGCGAAATACAAACTGTGGCCACACTGCCCCCCGTGACAATGCGCGTTAAAACATGTGTTCGACCGCAAAAGTCCTGGACCCAAGTCAAACAGGTAGGTCATTTGACAAAGACGGGCTTTGTGGCGATTTACAAGCACAGTGGGAAATCTTTATGGGACTTGCAACAGATGTTTTAAGACTCACAGCTGCTGACCAGATGGCTTTTCATCTATTAATACTAAAAATTGTCAATATTAACAAGGTAGAGAAAACCTTCGATTGTCAAGGGCAAATAGGCCTTTGTTTTGGAACAAAAGAGTAACCAAAGCAATCAAAAGACACACATGAGATAAGTTCTATTGTTCCAAGTGAATATGTGAATAAAGACGAAGAAAATGAAATCCCGATTCTGTTTGGGATTGAAAGCAACAAAACACATACAGCTGGCCTTAGTCAAATTTCTATAACGTATACTGTTTAGCAATATGAGCGGAGCCAATAAGATCAAACCGGAATAATAAAATGGACAAACAGAGGAGAACTAGTTGGGCTTTTGTCAGAAACGGAGATCATGTTTAATTATATGAAGCTTCAGTAAAAAGTTCAAATAGTTTAAGGTATTCAAAACACCGAACAGTAAGAGCTGACCTGTCAAAGTGTGGCCATTCAAATTTAGCCGACTAACAATGTTTAGGTTGCCTTTCAAATTGTATCACGATCATATTGCTTGTTTACTTCGTGAGGAAGATTCACGGTTGACTACTCAAACAGTTTTTCGAACCATGTATTCAGTATGTTAAAATTAGGCTTTTATCGCCGTAAAATAAGCAAAAAGAATTCAAAGCTCAACACGTAATTATCCCAATTGCACCTGTTTTGCAGAATCTTTTTATATGAAAAACAATGTGAAGAAAACTAGGGATTCCGTGCAGAAACGACTTCTACAATTTTATTCTGTCAATTGACCGAATGGTTTATCATCCCTGCAATTGCTCGTGGCCTGCCAGCATCTGTCGTGGAACGGAACTCGAATATTTTAGCATGTAAATCTCTAGTTGCTAGCAACTTTATTTTCACAAATTTTCACAAAGTAAATGAAAAATTACTTTGTAAGCTTAGATTTAATACCTTTGCATGGGGCATCATTTTCTTGTATTTTTTCAATATTTTTGCCGCAAGCAGTCTTTGATTCACCGGGATTGCTCCCCAATTCTCCTTCTATCTCGGATGATCCTTTACTCAAATGTCCAGTTGATCCGCTACGCTTTCTGCATGTTTTTACCAGAAATGTTCGTGGCATGGCGAAGTTTGATGAATTTGATAATCCCCAACGCTCAGACAATGATCCTAAGGAAGAACAAGGGCCACTTGAGCAGGCAAAAAGAAAGAGAGGCAAGCGAACTCTTCGGGCGAACTCTTCGGGCGAACTCTTCATACAATCTTCACACAGACTGCAGGGACCTCCTTCACCTGCTTAGTTCCATGAGCAGGCCGTGTGTGCATGCTATCAACGCATTCTATCAATGCTCAACGTCCTTGTGTTGTTGTTGAACTATTGCTCGCGGTTCTTTTGCAGAGAGCCTCGCCAGCTGGTTTAATATTAGAAAACCATCTGTGGTTTGCGACCGTTCACCTGAAACTTATCAATCAACCTAATCATTTATCTTCGATCTACTTAGCTTGCGCTGAAAAGACTTCTTTTAAATAATTTAATACGGGGGTAGCAGGGCGTCCTTTATCCGGGTCAAACAGTCGTTTTCGCTTTTATTTCACCAATTTAGCACAAACCAACTGTTCTTTGAGAGAGCTTTTTATGCTCTCTGCGCTGTCAATCGACCAATTTTCTGTCTACAAGTGTGCTGCTCATCTGACGCACTTCACAATTCAAGCTAACATATAACTGCTTTCTTATTTGGCCTGCTTTCAGCTTGGATCACATTAAAGCATCGCCGAGCGAGTACAGCTGATAATTCTGAACAAAACGCTCCTCCGCGAATCTTTCCCTTGCATGAGCTTATTTTCAAAAATGGATCCTGGAGCGATGCGCGAAGCAGTTCCGAATGAATGCTACCAATTTCGCTATGTCCAATTCATACAGCACACTGACCAAAAATCATTATGAAGATGCTAAAAATCATGAAACAGAAAAGCAACTGATTCAAAGAAAGGTCAGACCTGTGGGGCATGGGCACCATAGCTATGCCCACGTGTTTATCTAATTGTGTATTCTACTGTTGAATGATTTTTGTAAAAATTATCAATCGAAGGTCAACAGTTGCAGCTTGACGTCATCTTTACAATATCATTTTTGCGTAACCGCGCCAGAATGGAGACATGGCTGTCATGTAATTGTTCTTTTAAATGCCAAAATTCTACGCGCAAGATATTTGAAACTGACGTTGTATCGAAAAATTGATTGCATTGCAAACATTCCTTTGGTGGTACAAAAATGGCTTTGAAAAAGTGAATATTTTGACATACTAAAGCTCTTGGTCTGACACTCTTCCGAGTATAAACCGTCAAAACAAACGACAGATACGAAACTCTAAACAAGGGAATATATGTAGATCGAAACAGGCCCTTGAGAAACGATGCTGTTGAGGTTGCCCAATCGGTGCGCTTGCCAATTGAGAATTTTACTCAAGGCAGTCCTAAGGTGAAGCGGACTCCTTATGTCATAACACACGCATTTTTCGTGTTTATATGATAGATTTGTGTTTATGTTGATTTTCTTTCGAACACTTAATTGTCAGTAGAACTCGGATTTGACCTTTTGCTTTTATTTTTATCATCTTATAATTTATAATGAATTGTTTATAGATGGAAGAAAGATCGATAAAAACAAAAACAGCAATCGAGAACAGTTAGGTCTCTTATATTTGCCGAGCATACTACAAAACGTGGGGACGGGTCAGAATGTTTCAAGGTTTGGACAAACTGTAATCCATTTCCAAGAATAATTTGCAATGTTTTATAACATCATCGAAATTAAAAGGTAAAGGTGGGCTACGGCATTAACTGGTAGGGTGCCTAGTTCCTTTACTCGCCGCTTTTTGCCTCCATAGTACGCTTCAACTAGGTACATGATATTTCATGGAAATTTCTCCGAGCAAAATGTGACGTGCAACGCTCAATAAAAACGCCCACAACACAACCCTCAAAAACAGTTTGGTTCCAACCACGCCCAGTGTCGTCGGCAAATATTTACTGGCACTCACTAAGACAATTTTACCGGCAAATTATTGACTAGAACTCGTAAGATGCTTTTTAGAAGATTTTCTCTTTAACTAAGATCTTTAATGGTTTTCTAAGAAGTCAAATGCCCTCCATAAAAAGAAAAACATAATCATTATTCGAAAATGGCTTTGAAAAAAGCAAACATTTTACAACAAGCCAAAAGCTTTTTCATCTGACACTCCTCAGAGCATAAAACGTTAGAATCAGGGTTCGAATTAACACGATGAAAAATATATACCCAGTTGGGGATCGAAATGGGCCAATCAGAAAAACGCCAGCACAAGACCGGCTGACCAATCAATGCCGCGAGCCTATAGAAAAATTACCACTGGAGTCCAAGAGAGAAAACGAACTCCTTCTGTTTACACAATTGCGGCTTTTTCGTTTCTATGTAGATCGACTCCAAAACTGCAAGATGGAAGGAAGACCGGGCTCTGCCAATTATCCGAAACTTGTCGTTATTATAGAGTTTTGCACAATCTGGGTTATCTAAAAGATGTTAATCTACATTTTTGTGAAAAGGCGAAGGTTATATTATTTCCAAACTTGATTAAGTGTCCTGGAGAGGGAGGGAAATATCAAAATTTTCCTTTTTTTCTGCTAGGGATGTAGTGCAATGATATTATGTGGAAAGGGAGTGGTTTACAGAATTTTTCTTAGGTTATGCTAATTGCCCCCTATCCCTTTTAACCTTGGGTTACGCTAACTGCCTCCTTTTCATTTCAACTTTAGGTTACGCCAATTGCCTACTGCACTTTTCACCCTGTTGCATATTGCAGCATGGAGCCTACGATGGCAGAGATTGTATGTAAACCCTCTCATTGGCAATATTTCAAAACCGATCTGGAAATATTAAACAAATGTCTGCCATAAATTAATTGTAGCAAATTTTTAACAGTTAAAGTGATTTGAATTTTTAAATGCAAGAGATTTTGGCAGTTACTATTTTATTGCATCGAGATTACTTAGCCTTTCTACCACTTAGTTTGTCACAAAATTTTACAACACGAATGTCTTCATACGTCTTTGTAAATGAACATTGCCGATTGGTAAAATGTCTATTACATTGTTTCGATTTAAAGTTCAATATGTTGAGAATGCAAGAAGCCATTTTTACAGCAATGGAACAACACACATACGTTTATTCTGAATATCACCCAGGGGCGTCGTGGCGAATGAATTCTAGAGGGGGCCAGAAAGAAAAATTTTCCGACAAAATTTCTTTGATTTTTTTTAAATAGCAGCATTTCATGTAATTGTAAAGGGGGGTGCGGCAGAAAAACTCATAACTTTTTCCTTAGCTGGAAATAAATTTAGAATATGCTTCTTATCTTGTCTGTTTTTTCTATACTTACTGTGAACGCTCCTGACATTCGTAGATTAGGACAAGGGTAAAATGAAGAAATTTGTTTATGATCTAATACTTCAAATTCGTCGGAAAACGCATTATTTAAAGCAAATTTTAATGATAAAATCTTATTTTTAAATTGAATATCCACTGGGGGAATTGCATAAATTTCCAAATCTGGGACAGAATTTTCAAAAATCTGTTGATAGGCACATAATTGGTGATGGTGATAGGTAAATCCTGAGAAATCATTTTGTTGAAATCTAGTATTCTCTTTAGAAAAGTGAATTGCCTCTCAAATTTACGGTAAGTACTTTAGTCCAAGAAAATTAAGGTGCCAAGAGTTTGAGAATTACCGACAGCTCAAGTTGGAGAATTTTCCGACAAAACAATGATTTTTCCGAAAATCCATCAAATTTTGAGAGCAGAGGGGGCCACGGCCCTATTGTTTTGTTCAATCTTTAAAAATATACAAAACAATAGCTTTGGAAAGCCATGACATCAAAATCCGGGGGCGGGGGGGGGGGGGGAATTACTGATAACTTACTTGATCTTCGCCGGTACTTTTATCATGACCCTCTGAAATTCTTCATTCTCCAAACAGATCGTTGATATCAACTGGTGTCCCCCCTTCTAACCAGGGTTACCATTTGGGATTATTCAATTTCAGATATCACAAAACTGGGACTATGGAAAAGCTGCTGGGATCAGAAATTGTTATCTGGGATTCAAAGTAAAAATTGGGAATTTTTTTGGGATTATCAGACAGGAATAGATAATTTTTTATTATTGGTCCATGGATTGATCAAATTGACTGTTATGTAACCCGTTTGGCACTACTAAAGACAATGTAGTGAATCACAAGATTAAGAATGATTGACTTGAATGTGAAATTCTATGTAATTTATAGTTTTTTCTTTGATTTATTGAAATTGTGTAGTGATTCTATTTGTCATTCTATAAATATAAGCAATTTACTTTTCCTTTGGTTCTGTTATTGGCTCCCTTTCAAATGCTTTTGGAAAGGGAGTGTACATTTTACTTGATCTCATTTTAGTTTTCACATTGACTGTTGCACTGACTGAAAATTTGAAAGTTATCTGCTGTTTTTACAGCCATAATACCTCATACTACCTACAAATACTACTTATAATACTTCATGCCATAATACTTCATGCCATAATACTTCATGCCATAATACTTCATACAAAATGCTCAAGTTTAAGCCTCCATACTTTTATCCTGTGTACTTTGATGTAACTCAATTCTTATGGTAGCTAACTCGATTAATCATGTCAAATCAAGCAACCTTATCATTGAATAATGTGTAATTCATTGAACAGGTAATATAGAAGGCAAGGCTGCAGAGGGATATCTATCCCTTTCTATAACCTCTACGAAGGAATCTACATTGGACAAATTTGGGATTGATTTGGGATTGAGTTTCAGAAACATTGAGATTGAGGACTTGCCAGCGCTTGGCAACACTGCTTTTAACCACTTTTGCTCTACAGCAGCCGTTCTAAAACTCCAGTCCGCAGCAAGTTTTTATCCGGCCCACCGAGCGCTCTATCTCGAAGAAATATTTTTGTCTTACACTTTACACATTCGATTTACTTTTTTTGGACTGTTCTGATACTTTCTTTTTATCTGCAGTGGATGAAAATGTGCGTCCCGTTGTCCAGTAATTGGTCCGAAATAGAGTACAAAAATTGGAAAAGCTTTTTTTAATCATTTAAACGTTTTATAGCAAAATATTCTACTACTTCCATTGAATTCAATAGGTCTTTGATAAACTCACCATGACCTCCGCCAAAGGCCAGACTTAATCTTTATTTCATGAAGTTCATGCTTATTAGTGTATGTGTATGAGGCAGCGTGTGTGGACGAGGGTACTGGCTAATGCTTTATTGCCAAACTGTGTTTTATTTATCTATTCTCTCCATCTTATTTTGGTTACATTCATTTGTAGAAAAGTTGAGCATTCGCTGTTATGCTAAAATAATTCCATGGTGGCGGCATTTTTAATACAAACGCAATCATTGAATTTTGGCTCCACTTTAAAATACGTCGTCCCTGGATCCGACTTCAAGTGCATTTAGTCGACCAAACGAATATCAACGTCGTAACCTAAAAATAGCACCACTGTCTTCTGATTCAACCTGGTAAAAGAAACGCATGCTGCAGATTTTTGTGTAAATCAACTTTTGGCTTATATACTTTGTTACAGTTTGAAGCTTTTAGTCCCCCTCTCCCAGAAAATTATCCGTGGCCTTGGGCGTGTAAATCCGTCGGGTATTGCACATTGAGCCAATCCCTCTAACATCAAGCCAGCATCATGTTCCTAAATTTTATCACCGCCCTCCCTTTTTCTCTCCTCTCATCCCCCATTCCAAAACTTATTTCATGAAAATAAGCGCACTACATAGATTTTATGAATATAGAATCTAATTAAGACACTTGCTTAACAAGAAATAATAGGCCGGCCTATCTTAGCTGTAAATTAGCCTGGTAAGTCTGAGATCCGAACTTCATTTTGTGCAACTTTTTTAACACAAGCAAAGTAAAAGTCGAAAACTCAGAGGCCCTCGGAGAAAATCCCCATGTTTTTCTGGCCCGGCACTGAAAACAATTAAGAACCCTTGTTCTACAGTAAACTACCGACAACTCGAACCTCCAAGGGACAAGTGAAAGGGTTCGAGTTATCGGGGCATTTTCATATCAATATATTTCGCAAGGGGAAGCATATCAGTTAAAGTTAGCTGTTATTCGAGTTTTCGGTGGTTTGAGTTACCAGGAGATTTTTGTAATTCTTCTGTCGATCTTTAATCAACCACCTCGCCAAGCCGACTTTCAGGCTCCAAAGATGACCGCCATGGATATGCGATAAATTTTGCATGCATGGTGAATACAAATGCAAATACGGTGCTCATTTGCATGCTTGCAATTATGAACATAGAGATTAGTTTTCGATCTATGTTCTTACGTTTTCTACTCTGAAAAAGTGTCAGAGACGCCTCCTCACATCTGGCAAAGGAGCCTTATTTTTGCTGAAAGAGGCCCATTTTAAAAACAATCGACTGACCTTGCGAAATCTAACTATGAATAATGAATATGATAAATAGCTCTGAAGCCTTCCGTCTGACCTGCCACTAATGGTCGTTAACTAAAACGGAATCATATGACAAAACCCAAAAAACCTATTCAAATCTTTGATTATCTCCTACTGGATTTGCCCATTGGAAATCTCCATAAACAACGTTTCAATGGAAGTGTTTAAACTTAATCTTAGCTAAAATTTTGGAAACAATAAATTCGTATAAATAAAACTTACAATTTTTAATCTGGGTATCGTGTCAGGAGTACATCAAGGCGCTGTTCTAGGTCCTATTTTCCTCAATGTTTGTTTTTGACTTTAAGTTAAAATTTGAGCCACTTGTTTCGGATCTTTGAATAAAATACACAACGCAGCTAAACTTGGGCAACAAACAACATTGGCGTAAGACCCTGTGGGATATATCCACTCGCGAATTTATATGAATTGTTCACTTTGCAATGATATTGTCAGGGACGCCTGCACAAGATTAGGGCAGGAGGGGCAGTGTTGGTGCTGAGGGCAAATTTTTCTACTAACATGGTTAGGGAGGGTGGGGGTAACATAACAAAATATTAACATGCATATGTGCCAACCATACAGCTGAGTTTTTCTACCACAAATGATTCTAAACATAGAGAAAATGTTGACGATACATAAATAAATATCCATACATAAAAATGGGTATTAAATGGCTTTGTCATTATACACAATATTTGGATTTAAAAATTTCATGGCTGTTATAAATGGGCCGGTTGTAAAATTTTGATTGCAAATTCAAATTCAGTAAGATACTTTGGCCCATATCTGTGGAGCAAATTAAAGAGAGCTATCAAGGAGGTGACAACAATAACCCAATTCAAGAAATGTATAAGAAGAATGGACTTAGAAACTCTTTTAGACTGTAGACTTTAGTTTAGTTGTACATAGGATTTTTAGAAATTTTTATGTTTTAATAATTATACTGTAATTTCATTTTTTATGCTCTAATTTAACTTTATATACTTTTTTCGTTGTGTCCCCAATTAGCTTGTAAGCTAAATATTTTTTGACACATTAATAAAGTTTTTGATTGATTGATTGATTGATTGATTGATTGATTGATTGATTGATTGATTGATTGATTGATTGATTGATTGATTGATTGATTGCAAATACCGTTTTATCCTTCTTTGGTTTCTGGAGTACTTCTGAGGGAACAGGTCCTTTGTTTATCTACTATTCTCTTTGCCGCTCTCCCTCTTTTTACCCACCTTGCTACAGAAAGCCTTTTCAACCTTTGTGTTTTTGTGCTGGTTTTATCATTTTTCTAATATTTTCTAATAGAAATTAACATAACGAGAGCGGTCAAAGTGATCATCAATAATCAATAAGATTCTATAACATTTTCTTATATTTCAGGGCATTTCTTGCCCCCTCTGGCCCTCCAGCAACCCCCCCCCCCCTGGTGAAGGCGCCTCTGGATATTGTTATTGAAATTTCTAATGCTTCCCTTTTATTCTCCTCTCCCTGGCAAATTGGATATTTCATTGTGATCGATGCTGATAATTCTAAATAGAAGGAATCTACGGTGGTAGATTATAAAGCCATTGGGGTGGGCTCAGGTTACCTTCATTTCACTGAGCATGTCAGTCCCTTTTCGGAAGTCGGAGAATAGACTCCACAAAGCGTAGTAAGAGAAAATAACATTCAACTGTTTTACATGAGCTAACAGTTATGATATTGATCAACAATAAACTAATGAGGGGGCGCTTTCTTGGAATCTCAGAAGAGGTATGCCACATCTAAAGTGTGTCTTAATTCCAATTGACCAATTGAAAATAACTCTTGAAAACAAACTTGGAGCATTCTGTGTGTGAAATTAAATCATCAAGATTAATAAAAAAAACATGATTGGGTTTTCTACCTCAAATTATGCTAAAGAAAGAGTCTCATATTTCGCTGTGGCGTATGACACATTGTTTGAATGAATTCTCCATTAATTGCATTATTTTCAAATGCACCACACACCGCACTTTCAGATAAGCATATCCACTAACAATTTTCTTGACATAGAAAAACAAACAGTTCAAGAGAGAGCAACAATTAGACAATCAGAATACAAAAAGAGGGTATCCATGATTCATATATCAACATTTATCAAAGATAAATAAATATCCTGAACAGACTTTTCAAATGACACAGAAATTAAGGTTTAGGACTACATGAAGGATACCAAGTTAATGGTTTTTTACGTTCTGTATAGAATATATTTCAAAAGAAGAAGAGTTTTTGCACTTAATGAAGATACAAACAAACAGGGGGGGTTGGGTGGCCAAACAAGTGGTAGCAGGCACCACACACAACAACTTTCCATTCTTGAGTTTGTTGGCAAATGCAAATTTCTAGATTCTAATTTTATTATTAATTGCTCCAATGTCTTGACAAACTTTGAACATTCATCAATTTTATGTACTCTATTCCTGCTCACAAAATTAAATGTGAATTTCAAATCGCTCAAGAATTCACAGAAAGCAGTTTGGCCAAAATTCAGTATTATGAATAGTCACACCTTAGAGACTCCATATTGTCAGAAAATTTGGGGAGCTGTACACCAACAATTTTCTTCTGCCTTGCCCCTGCTAATGAAATTGTAGATTTGAAGAAAAGCCACATGAAATATTCAGTTTGATACAATAAAATACCAGGGTTTCTAATCCCAAAAGAAAAACACTTGAAATGAAAGACAGTCTAATACCCCAGCACTGATAAACCTAAGGGAGAAAAAGCTTAACTATTTCCTTTTATCTATTTAACAATTTACTTTTTGTTTCCGCAGCCTTCAGGGCATGTTCCTTAAACGTGGATCATAAAATCATATAGATATATATATATATATATCTGTATAGAAGGCCCACTGTTTATTGTCACATAATAAAATCTACTTGATAAGAAACTTGTCTTTTTGGCTGTGGTTATCTTCATCAATATCTGCTATTGGTTAGCTGTTTCGCAAGCATCAATCCAGTCACTGTAAACATCCACTGGTTCTGAAAGATCTATCACAAGTTAAGGGTATTTTCAGTCAATCATCTCACCATAGACATCAAAGTCTTCCCTTTCTCTGACAAGGGTGCTACACAAAAATACTCTACCCAAAAAACTCTACACAAAGAATGCATGTTTACCATTTCTATTAAGTGTTACTACTGCAGGCCTGGCCATAAGAATTTTGGTAGGTAAATGGCTCTCTTTATTGGTGTCAGGCAGGCGATTTTGCAAACAACTTTTTAGAAGCATTTATACACTAGCTAGAAAGAAAATGGTTATAAAAATAGAGAAGAAAATTATCTTCTAAGTACTTTCTGCAACTGAAAAAGATAACACCAAGTTCTTTTTACTGTGCTTCATAATTATAAATTCATGCTCACTTGGATTTGATTCATTAATTCATGAAACTTCCTGTATGCTCTCAACTCTACAAAATTCCTCTGCTTGTTTTACAGCCCAAGACAAGACAAACATGAAACTTTAACTTAAAAAACTCTCCTCGAACCTCTTCTGAAAATTCCTTCCATTGTGGACTTTTACTAAAATGCTGTTAACACACTTCCATGTGGAAGGGGGCAGAGGAGTTACATTTGAAAATGCTTATCTCATTTGGTTTCAACATCCTCTTTGAACAGTAACGTACGTAGCAGACCAAATTAAAATATCCATGATATTGTATCTTTTTAACCATTTAGTTTGTTGAATGACATACTGTTCTGTTCTGTCTGCGAGGTAGCCTTCTTAAAAAAGGCATAAAGGCCTGATCTTTTGTCTAGTTCATCCAGCGACCAAACATCACCGTTATCACTAGCCATCAGGCCAGATCAAAATTGTACAATTTTGCATTTGTTTTCAATGTTTAAAAGAAGTTCGCAAGTGGACAGGTATTTTTAGAATAGAAAAAATTATCTGATAAAGTTTTGAAAGATTTGAATACAGGTAGACAGGGGCTTAAAAAACTATGAAAAATAAAATGTCTGCCACACCATTGATGATTGTAATATGATACTCAATTTTTCTATGTAACTTACATAAACATGCGATCATTTCCCAAATAAATAGAAGCTTAAGATGTGCCAAATATGGTTAGCTTTAAATGTACATAAAAACCTAAGGTGGGCAGTTAATGTTAAAATTGGTGGAGAGGAGGGCAAATGATCGCCCTTCTCAAGCAATCTAGGAGGAGGTCAAAGTGCACGCAGGTGATCGCTCGCCTAAAATGGCCAGGCCTGCTATTGCTTCAAAATTTAGACAAATGCAGCATGATCTTGAGATCACAATATCAGCAGAAAAATTGGCAACATTTCCCCTGATTGTTAAAAGGAGCTAAAAAGCATTTTATCAGAAGTTTTTCTAACCTGAAATACCTTTGAAAAAACATTTGCTATTTCTGAACATGAAAAGATACATGTTATTGAAGTTTGGTAATCTTCAGCACAAACTCTGCATGATATGCTTCCGATGTTTCTAGGTCTGTCCCTAAAACACAATAAGAATTTTCTGTAATTTCAAAATAAATAATTCAAACTATAATGAACCTAAGCAAACTGATTTCATGATTTCATTTAACTGACCAACATGGACTGAGAAAATCAATTTTTCCAACCGTTTGTTCAAAATTTGTCTTTCAAGGTTAAAAAGGGCCTCCTCTGCTGCAGTGTTGTAAATATACTGAAAATGTCCTGATAATCTCTAAATATAATCTCCATAAACATTCAAGTGACTTCAGAATTTTTACAGGATTGAGTTCTGTATACACATATTAATATATATTAATATTTATTGATATCTTTGTAGGGAACAGGTAATTGGTTTAACTGAGTCTTTTTAACCAGCTGCAAACTACTAACTTCACAATAATTGGGTATGTCTTCTGAATAAAAAATCAGTGATTGTGTTCAGTTCAGTTCAGTTCAGTTTGTTTTAAACTACAGATTTAAAAGAAAACCGGCAAATAAACGCTTGCAAGAACTTTTAAAAAATCATTTTTCACGAGTCATTTCTTGATCAAGGGAGCGAGAAGTTGAAGTGTTTGTACTTGAATAAATAACAAGCATGGACAGATGATTTTTCGCTTTTTTGCTTGCAGTTTGGTCAAATCTTCCATTTTTTCGCAATGATTAGATCGGTGTGAGCATTAACAACACAACCATTCATGGATTTCTTTTCAATTAGCAGATACACATTGCCAAAACAAAGGAAAAGTCATCAATAATGTGCAGCAAGGCCTACAAGTACATAAATTGCAGTAACCTCCAGGAAAAATACTTGCACTTTAAAAGGAGATTTCCTTGATTGAAAAGAGTAAAACTTACATCTTTACATCGCAAGATTTTTCGTGGTTGCAAAATGGACAGTTAAACTGCGTTTCCAACGTGCCAACGAGTTTTTTCTTCGGTGGTGCCTTCCTTTTTGACCTCCGCCTTCCCATGATTTCAATCAACTTTTTGACTCGACTACACTATTATTGGTAAAAGTATTATAAAAATGCAGCTTGGATGTTTTATTCGATTACTTTGCTTCGTTTTCTCAGCGTATTTTTACATAATTTCCAGTGTTTGAAATAACTGTCCTTTCATCTCCATCTCCATGTGGAAGCAGAAAGTGTTGTTGTTGCTGTCCAAGCATTTGATTTCAGGGTCAGTGGCTGGGACATCGCCTTAAAAGCGGCATTTTGGGCATTTTGGAAACCTAGATTTTTCCATAAAAATCTTAATCAAATGCTTTGGAAACCTAAAAAAAATTGTTCCATGCAAGATTTTTTTGTTTCAAAACATTCCTTCTTGCAAAACCACAGTAGCCCATATTTATTGCTAATAGACCTAATTCTTCTTTTTAATCAACTAACGAAAAATACTTATCTGTAGCACCCTTGCAAAGGAAAGTTTTTCAGGTTAAGCCCACTTTGTGAAAACTCACAAATATTACGGGGGGGAGGGAGACTTACCCCCCTTAAGAAGTGATCGAATGTTGGGTTGGACTAGTCCGTCAGTTGACAGGATCCTAATACTCTATGGCAGAAACAAACGGAATATATCTTAAAATATTTGTATATGGTACTTGAATACGAAAAAATATGATGAACGCTTCAAAATGGTAGCTTAGCAACGAATCGGGTCGGGGGGGGGGGGGTTGATTCAAATTGCAAACATCATATGTGCTCAGAATGCATTCCAAATATCTTAATTTCCTTGCATTAATCTGATATTGTTTAAAAATTCAAAACCCTTATGATAAAATTAGTTTTTAAACATGATGTTTTCCTGGAAAGGGGGGCAAGGCCTCTGCTGAGGGTTCATAGGGGGTCTTATGCCAAAAAATATTATTGTCCATCGTATTGTCTCAAAACAAAATTTTAAACGTTTGAAAGGAGCATGGTCATCAATTAATCATCCTCAAAGTCCGAAAAATCACTTTCTGATATTGTCGCATAAGCATTCTGATCAAGTTCGTTTGGTTGTTCATATGGTATTCCCACACCCATGCTATCACATTCAGTAGCACATAGATCTGTATATTTCAATCCTGCCTGTAAGCAGCAACATGATTAAATTTCGCACGATGTCTTGCAACGGCAGCTAAACAGCTCCATCACTTTATTGCTAGCTAGCCATTTGATTGCTATTGAGTCCTCACTGACCTCCCAGCCATGGCCGTCGGGAGATGGGACATCGGGAAGTTGGAGAATGGCTCTTTTCCACACCCAAGCTTGATAATTGGCCCTTATTACATGTAAAGCAAGAGTTGATTTGCATGGGGGCAAAGCCTCTGGTTCAACTTTCCCACCCTTTGAGCAGTAAAGCTGGTAGCGGAGAAGTTCGAAATTTTGAAGTCGCTTTCCATACAATGCGAAAACAAATTCCTCGAGTTTGCTTAGCAAATGGGCTGACAATATCGATGTATTGTCATTGTCAAGGTTCGAAAAAACCGCTACGTAATCCCTATTGGCCAGTAATAACTTCAGAGCTCTATCCTTGCCTTTACCTGCTAATGCTGAAATGGAATCACATTCTGTAAATGTATGCATGCCAATTAGCGATCTGCAGAACTCTTGGCTTGAAATCTGTGCGTGCAACTTTGAAGCGATTCACTGATTTATGTTGATAGCCTTTACTGATTTACGTGTATTTATTGTTGTTTATTCTCGGCGTATTGCGTATTGCAGTGTTTCTTACTTGCTACATTTGAAGCGATTGCTGCCTTAACATTGTTGATATCAATTGTCCTTGTCTAGGAACCTTTTCCTACCTTCATGTTGGTGTTTGAAATGAAATTGCTGTCTTCAAGGAGCAAGATGAACACGTCTGTGTCGTCTGCATGAATGACCATTTGCGTATTTTGCATGAAGCAGCATGCGAGTATCCGCCTCTTCGTGTGAACATTCTAACTCTGAAACGATCTCAGAACTGTCCTCTGGTATTCTCCAGCAACTGCCTCCTCCTGTCAATACGACATAATAATAGCAATACGACATAATAAAACATTCTATTGATTTGACTTGAAAATATCTGAAGCAAAGTCTCAGCCAGGGTACGAAATGTTAATCTACCGAGAGGTTGATATTTCTGAAGCACTGCCATTCCGTCGTAAATGCTTGTAGCATGCTCAGGATATTGATCTGCAGGGGGGTCCCTTTCTCGATTTGTGTCAGGAGCTGTGCCTTGTTTGTTTTTCTGGGCACTCCATAGGGGTCAGCAATCGCCCATGGTAGTGGACCAAGTGGATAAATGAAAACCTCTTTCAGATCAAATTTTCGGAATGGTGCCAACAGTACCATTCGCGCAAACAACGTACGGTCGATTTTCAGTGGGATGAGTTTGTCTTTCTTTTGCACATTGATAACTTTCTTTAGCTGTTTGAAGGTCTTCAAATTTGTCTTCTTTAATGGATCTAAAAATTCAGCTGTTGGCTCTGAAAGGCATCGACTGGTGAAAAGATCTTGCTTCACTTCCAGAGAAGCAACAACACTCGTTGATAGGCTCAGCAGCTCTTTACCATCCCAAGGGCTGATGAAAACGTCTTCCAGGACCTCGATAACTTTCTCGACAGCAAGAATGTTCTTTCGAACTCGTGCTGGTGCCATTTCTTTGTGCACAAACTTCTTGGACTTCAATCCAATCTGCTCGCGAAAAAGGCGTCTGCATTGTCCCCGGCGTGCATCATTTAAAACCCATCTCTAAGTGGCTAGAAAGCCTGAGCCAAATCAAATGTAATCATTATTTGTCTTACCTTTTCTATTTTTCGTATTCTTTATAGTCTTGTCAGCTTTATTCTTTCCGAAGGGATTTGACGTGCTCATTCCGACAGAAAACTCCCCTTGCGTAAATGCTGCATATACATCTGGCTTCTCAGTTTGCCGCTTTCGCATGTCATCTAAGGAAGGGAGAAGATATCTGGAATACTTCTGCCGCAAATGTCCAAGAAATTACTTCTACGCAAGAGAGATATAACTCCCCACCTCCTACTCGGGTTGCAAAGATAAGATTCAGTTACAGCTCACATAGCTCTATATATGAAAGCCAGAACCTTTGCAAATCGCTCCCATATTTCACATTCAAAGCCAGATATTTCAAAGATAACTTATATAGCTCCTTATGCACACCCTCTTCTTGACTGCTTCAAATTTTTCTTGAAACGTGTTTAATTTTAGATCTTCGAAGACTTCACGTGACTGTGACAGAAGTTCTGGATTCTTGACAGCCATCCAAGCTTGAAAGTTCCCTTAAAGCAAACAGCTTAATGCCTCATACGTAACTTTGTGCATATGAACAGCACGGTTGTAAGTTTTTCCATTCAACGTATTAATTTTTTAAACTGGGCAAAAATTGGTCATTTGCAACAACAATGGTTTTGTGTGGGATCTAAATTGTGAACAGATTCTGAACTTGAATGGAAAGTACTACTACCTCCAATCTTTGTGACTTCGAACAAATTTAATAAGCAATTGAGTTTTTAACATTTCATTGTTCTGGCTCTGAACATATGACCACAGTATTACCATATTTGGAGAGTGGTCAACAAAAACTGCTTATAACCCCACAGTTTCTACCTTGTATGTCCGATTGATCTCAAACATGCACCACTCCATTGCCTTTGACTAAGGCTTCATTTGATATATATTTTTTCATATTTGCTGATATCAGTGAAATTCAATATCTGCGACGTAATTCAAATTTATGACCTTATTGTTCAAATAAAAATATAAAATGTAAAAATTCTTGTCTTATTTGCTTCCTCTTATTAATTTGATTCACTCTGAGTCCATATTTACCAGGTAAAACGACAAGACTTGGAAAAAAACTGTAAAGACATTCAGCATATGAAACGAAAACCTAATTAAAAGCTAATTGTGCTGAAAATAAAGCCAGAACTTATATCTTAAGCATATATTTTAAATTTGCAAGATTTGTCTACTACTTAAAACAAGCTTGAAGAAAATTGGTTGAGCAGTTGATTAAAAAAAAGTATTTTTAAAATTAAGAAGGTATAACCTTGCTAACTTTCCTTTTTTGGTTGCCTAGCAACAAATCACGTGTCCAATAGCATGTTATTGCTATATTTGAAAAGCCAATTGTGTAAAGAACAATAGGTATAAATTTATTGTTATGTCCTTTGTGGCCTAAGAGAAAAAGAGGGGGCGAATAGCGCCCCCCCCCATAATACAAAGTGACTACAAAATCACCCAGTACTAATAGAGTGGAAAAAAGACAGAAAGGTGTCATCTAAAACAGTACAATTTTCCACGAAAGTTACTTTTTTCATGCATAACTTTTTCACACCAGTAATACTGGAAATATCTCTTTTTATCAGTTTTATTTGTCTCCGGAAAATTAGTATTGAAACACAAAAAGTGGTTTCAGCTGATGGATTAGACGGTTGTCCTTTAGCATTGAAAGGACGGGAATTAAAGCTCATTATGCAGGGCCGTTCGAAGTGGTGGATGTGGGGGGCCTGGAGAACTCCCCAATTAAAGTCAAAATGTACTTTAGTTCCTTTATAGTAGTGTAAATGCAATGAGCAGCCCTCTAATGTTAATTTCGTTCCGACAGCACTGATATACTCGAAAGAAGCAAAGGAGTAACCATATCAGGAAATGGATTTTAATGAGGCCATCATTATGAGATGTGCCTCCATCATTATGAGATGTGCCTCAAAATAATGAAAATTACAGTTTAACGGTCTGCCATAAAGTGTTCGATACCTTTTATTGGCAGAGCTGTAAACGCTATTTCGGGTATAGAACAGGACGACCGTAAACTAAAAAATACGTTTATCTAGCTGTGGATTGAAAGGGGCTAATCATAAATGCATGTCCAGCTGTGGATAGAAAGGGGCTGATCAGAAATGCATTTCCAGCTGTGGATTGAAAGGGGCTAATCATAAATGCATGTCCAGCTGTGGATAGAAAGGGGCTGATCAGAAATGCATTTCCAGCTGTGGATTGAAAGGGGCTGATCAAAAATGCACGCACATCACGAGTCCTTTTGACGCTCCATCAAACGTTTTTCGGGTAGGTAACCTATAAAACCCATTCGCAGACTTTTCCAATTCTCATATTGCATTAAAGACATGTAAATATTGTAAAATCATTCAAAAGGAGTTATTAAAATAAATCGAAAGAATTGTTGGATAGCCAACAAATTTATGACTATGATTAGGCATGAAAATCATGAGAATTCATTAAGTTGAAGGTGCACTGTATTTTCGTGTAGGATGTGCCCTTTCCCTTGTAGTGATATTAAACTATTATCGGAATCAACTGCAGTTATTAGCTATTTATGTTCTACGCCTATTTTCACAGTAAAAAAGATACATCGTGTTCACATTGTGAAACACATATATTTCTGAATTCTTTTCTGCGTTTGAGTGAGTCTCTTTGCGGTAATCTCTTCGCGATGGTCTCTTTGCCATAATCTCTTCGCGATGATCTCCAGGCATCATGCAATAATAGGTCAAAAGTTGTTTTTGAAAGTTTACTCTAACTATGCTGTAGAGCAACATTGGATAGAATGCTTCCAAGTAGGAGCAGCTCTTCTTGACTGGGAACCCTTTTTGTTCATTTTCTAAGTTTTTTTCTTAATGTTTTATCATCTCCAAGCTAATTTTATCTATTCTTATAACTATTGGAATCTTCTCTGAACCAGACTCTTTATAGAAATAAGCCAGACTCTTTATAGAAATAAGATGAACTAAGCAACTTCAGTAGAAGAGGCCGTTTCCGGCGTCTAGAGGTCGAAGCCAAAAAAATGTTCGGTCACGACCTTCTCAGCTCTCCCACATAGAGGCTGATAGTCTGCGCGGTTCCTGATAGTCTGCGACGCAGGCTAGGTTCCTGATGGTCTTATCGCGATGGTATCTGTGCGATGGTCTCTTCGGGCGCTAAGCTTGCTATTACAAGTGTCAGTTAATTCCATACAGTTTTTTTCTGTCAGTTGTAGATGAATGGAAATTCCAAGCTCCAAGGTGACACCTGTGGGCTGAGCGTTAATTATGCATAAATGAATTCAGCCTTTTTAACTATTCCGAATTGATTTCACTTGAGAAGCCAACACAGTTATTCAAACACTTTCAGCATGTGTTCTTTCTGGCACTTTTGCATTTTTCAAGGTATCTTTGCCTTTTTTACCCTCCCATCAACTATGGCTACTGCTGCCGTGGCCCTGCAACTGATTGAAAACAGCAAAATCACGACGCCAGAGACTGTCAGAGGCTTGAACGCTTCGAGCTTTGATGTGGTGCAACTGCTATCTAACTGCATGGCTTCTAAGTATCTGCAGAATCACAACCGCAATTTGTCGTCTTCATCGGTAACTGACTCTTATTTTATCTCTTATTGTGAGCGTTCTAAACTGTAGAGAATGTAATGGCGTAACCCAGCTAAATTCCTTTTAATCTGTTCGCTATTCGGCTGACACAAAAATGAAAGGCTGGAATTAACTAAGCTAAATCGACTTTGTCAAATACAGCATAGTGTCGGCCTTTGTCGAAAAATTACAAAAGTACAAATCTTTGAACTTCCAATATTCTGTGCCTTTTTCTAGCATAATTTATTGAAGCGACTTTTTAGAACAATTCAAAAAAAGGAATGTCTATAGAAGTTGTGTAAGAGATTGCTAATATAAGGCTATTGTTGCCAAGTGTTTGGCACTCTTTTCCCTAACACGCCAGTGGCAGAATCCAGTCGTAATGCAAATCAAGGGGAAGCGATGCAAAATGAAAAGAAATGCCATATACTAAGATCGTCGTATGAGATAATAAAATACGTGCTTTCGGAACAAAGATAAACAATGTTGCCGATGCCTATTTTGCTAATGCCTCTATTGCTAATGCCTTTTTTGCCGATGCCTATTTTGCCAATGCCTCTATTGCTGATGCCTTTTTTGCCGATGCCTATTTTGCCAATGCCTCTATTGCTGATGCCTTTTTTGCCAATGCCTCTTTTGCCAATGCCTCTTTTGCCGATGCCTCATCGGCTGATGCCTCCCTTTTTTATGCTAGTTTTGACTTGCAACACCCTTGCTCTTTCTAAATCTGTTCAATCGATTTTCAGATTGCAAGTCTATCGCTTCATGCGGGAGTTATTAACGGAGCATTTGTAAATGAAAAGTAAGCCACGAAGTTTCAACTATGCTGCATTCACCTTGCTTTTAAATGTTTGTACAAGGAAAACCGTGAATTTACAACTAGTAAAAATTGTATTTTCCAATAGCAGCGCTGTACTTTGGTCACTAGAAAAATTCTATGTATCCACTTACAAAAAATGAGACTCTGTCAATCCAAGTATGGCCTGCCAGGTACATTGAGGAAATAGAACTTATGATCATTGTCAACTATCTCGGAAATCGCACGCGTCAATTAAAACTTAAATTAAATTTAAACTTTGTATTGTGATCTGCAGCATACACGAGTTTGAAAAATGACCACATCATCAAATATCTCATTGTAATTATGACCATCTAATCTGAAAAAGCATTATGGAATAACTCTTAATGCGTAAACTTAGCTAATTCTGTTAAAATAAGGTTGAAATAATTCCACATGAGTACAGTTTCTTTCTCCATCAAATCAAAATGATTTTGCTTTGGTTCCAAAATTTATGAAATTTATTAGCCTCTTATCACACTGGTAAAACATTATGCAAAATCACGGCGTTTGCGGTGGATAATGTAAATCGTCATTATGCGGCAACTATATTGTTGTTTTAACAAGCATGAAATGGATTTTTAGAAAAAGCAATGGTAGCAATGGTCAAGTGATGTTACAATTGAACATGACATTTCCAATAGAATCGGAAGATACTCTAGGTATACTTCCAAGTCAGTTAGATTCTGCTCTCCATACCATGCAGCTCAAAGCATTTGCTGTCAACAATTTCACGGAAGGTATTTATAATACATATCTTCATACTAGTTCGCTCACCGATGCTTAAAACATCATTTAAAGGATTTGAGTCTACACCGTCGCCGCCATTGCACCTCACCATCACCTTGTCTAAATACCCCTGACGTCAGTTATTCCTCAAAGGCGGCTTTAGAATAAATTTGAATAGCAGAAAAGGTTATAAGAGTAGAATCAAGGATATAGTATTTTATTAAAGTGTGCTTTTTCTACGTACGTAGTCACAACTTCACTAAAAATTACAATAGCTGCTAGAAGTATTTATACGCTATAACCATTATTTCTTTTCAGAAAATTGTCAAAACTTCCTTATCTTCCTCTTAAAGCAATACTTTTCTCGACAGCATTGCAGCTTCAGTATTGCTTGATGAATCGTATTGGATAGTCAGTTATACATTCAATAAGATTCCCTTCGTTGTTATAATCTTCATATTTGCTTTCATTTCACATGCAATACTGCATTTTCACAACTGCTACAGAATTCCTTTTCATCGACAGACTACTGCAGAATTCCTAAATGCCCCATTGATAAGATGTGCGTCAATAAGATGACATTGTCGGATGTTGAAACTAACATTAAAAGGTGGAATGACAGGTTGGTGCGGGCAATTTGGGCACCTGGCCTACCTTGTCAAGTGGTTAGTAACATGGGCATTGTTTGCCTCAAACTCATCAATAATATATTTTGAGTCACTTAATAATTTAAAAAAATTATTTTCATTTCAGCCCTACCTCATTCAGCAACAAAATAGGATGTTGTGATTCGTTAAAATTTTCAAAGAAAAATGTGGTTGCTTTAAGATGGTTCCTAGCCAAGCTGTAGCTTTTGCCAAATGGTCATTCTGCAAATAAAGCCAATTTTTTTTGTTAGCAGTTCACATGATGCGTCGCATTTGACCAAATATACAACAACCGTATGTGGTTCATATCTGAACAATCTCACCATGAATACAGTAAAAAAGTCCATAGTCACACGCCCTGCGTATTGGAAAGAAGGAATTCCCTTTTAAACAAGACTTTCGTCTAAATTATGTGATTTGATTAATAGCAAGCACAGTAAGATATGATGTAGCAGACAATCAATGATTATCCAAAGTGACGAAGTGCTTATTTGATATAAATATTTTCTTTCGCTTTCCTTTTCAGAATTCAGTTTATATTCACGAGGGAACTGGATACATTAACATCCTTAATGCTCATTTCAATGAGTGCGTAAGATTTTCTTCATTCATCAGTTATTTCTCGTCAATGGTTAGAAACTTTCAGTTAAAAATTTACATCGTACAAAAGCAGCAGGTCCCCCACCTTCCGCTGCTCCATCTGCCCCTGCCACTCCTCCTGCCCCTGCAGTGCCACCCCCACCACTTGATACAAATTTTTAATGAAGCCCATTTTCCTCTCCCCCAGAAACAAGCTCATGCTGACAACAGCCATCTTACTCGAGAACTGGTCGACTGATTTGCCACATCAGTTTTTCAAGGGATTTTCCAATACTAATGTAACCCTGGTAGGGATTTCGGTTCTCATGACGTATGAAAAAGGTAATTGTTTTAAACTTGAATCATCTATCACATAATTCATATTTTGTGAACTGAAAGGTATTCCCTGAATAAATAAAATTGCATTATTGCTGTCAGTCTAAATGCACATTTGATATCTTACACACAATCAAATATTTCAAGTTTTGTTCCTAGATTTGTAATTTCATTAAAATGACGATTTGCTATATTTCATTCCTTTTTTCCTCTACCTAGCTTTATTTCCCTTTCTTTTTGAAATGATTTTGAAAGGATATATCTTGAATCCCAGCAAAATGCAATACGCTTTCCCACCACTCTCGTACCAGTCTCATTAGAGTCGTCTGTAACAGTACAACTCTCTGTGCATAGCTGTTTGTATACAAGCACAGTCTTTAAACTGCATAGAGATCAATCAATTTCATTTTTCGTGATGTTACAAGATTTTTCTGCACCTAATTACAATGCTTCCCCGTGAAGGTAAAATGGAAGGGAAGAAAGACTGGTTTGAGACAACCGAAGGTCTAGTAAACCTGACTCTGATGGGCATTCTTGGCTTCAATCTCCTAGTCATTCTCTTCGCATTGTCATTCTGGGCTTGCAATAGATCAAAGCGGGCATTCGAACGAGACATCTGGGATTACGCTCTTTCTCGCAAGAAGGTTGACGACTCAGATCCATGGTGATTTTTCTGTTATATCTTAACTGCAAAAAGTTGTAAAAAGATTTGTTTTTTCTTAATGATATTAACATCTCAGATAAAAATCATCGTTGTTTATATCATTTTTATCATTTCATCATTTTGATCACTCTAGTTTTTAGTTTTTTTTCAGAAATAATATTTTATGGAATTCTCTCAAAATATTCATAAGGTTGGATAGGAAATTATTCTTTGTAAAAGTGCGTCTAGATCAGGTGCGATAAACATAAGTCATTTTTCTGCCCATATCTTTGGACTTCTTTAATTGCCAATTTGATTACAACAAGTATCTATGCTTGGAATTAGTTTTACAAACATGTTTTTATAATATTGCCTTTTTTAATCTAATAAGCTGCACAAATAATCAAGTTCGGTATCTTATTATCGTTACGAATAAAAAAAGCACTGCAACTTTGATAATATTTCATTTTATCATTTAACAATCAATTTTCGCAATGTTTGTTTGTCTTTTTTTTCATTTGCTCAGCTTCTTGTCATGAACACAATGGCGTTATCAATGTATTTCGTATGCCACCCCGATGTTCTTAATTCATTAAAATATCAATTTTTGTTGAAATAGCTTCCCCCCTTAAGCGCTTTAAATTGATGTGTCTTCGTGCATATAACGATTGATTTGTATACATTTGGAATGATAAATTACATGGTTACAGTTTTCAAGTGCTGCTCCAAACTCGAAAGATAGAGAAAAAATACTGGTTGCATTTAGAATAATTCAGAAGAAGATTGATGCAAAAATGGCTTACAAGTGCAATTCAATACACTCAATACTAGTGCAAAATGGGGATCCATTGTTCGCCACGACAAGTCCCTATAATTCAACAAAAATATCTGAAGATAAATTTAAGGCTGAAAAATTAAAAAAGGGTTTGTATTAAGTTTTGTTATTCTTATATTTTGTGGAAAAGGTCTTGGTCACTTTAAAAAAACCCCAGATATGCAAATAAAAATATAAAGATTGTCAACTTTTGAAAAAATGTTTTGAAAACCCACAGAAAAATTCTGTTTTACAGATTGTGGTCTTTTTCAGTCCTATTGATAAAGGGGTGAACCCTTATAGTTTTAAACTAATCGCTGAAAAAGGAATTTTTCAATTATCCAATTATCCGACCTATATATATACAGTAATTTGTCAATTATCCGACCCCTATATACAGTAATTATTAAATTATCCATTTATCCGACCCATATACACGGTAATTATTCAATTATCCAACGCACCGTTTATCCGGACTTCGATTACCCGGTCCGTAAAAAATGAGAAAAACCTTACAAAAATTTTTATCATTTTTGTTAAATTGTCAGGAGCACTTTTTTTCTTTCCATTTTGAATATTTTATGAGTATTTTGAGAGTATTAGGTGCATTAGATTGTAATGTGTGCTTAGAAATAGACTTTCATAACAATCATCCTGTTTATTTATGCTGGTTTTTGCCGTTGTTCATATGTTTCCAATTATCAGGAATTTCGGATTATCCGCATGAATCTTGAAATCCTGTGTCCCGAGAAGAGCGGATAATTGAATAAGTACTGTATAGCATTATTCCTTTAGGCATTGCTCGTTGTATTGTCTTTAGGCATTGCTCGTTATATAGTGTAATAGCTCTATTAAGCCCCCCTTTACAAGCAATAATTCAAAATAAGCCCCCTCTCTATCAAGCCCTTCCCTCTTTAGTCCCTGATGTCAAACAAAGAAAACATGCGCCTTAAGTGGGTCTCTTGACGGGTGTGATGATAATAAGATCATGTGCATTAAATAAGGCCCATGTTAAAGTTTAATTGTGGGCGTTAGAGGTCAAGAGGATACTGATGATGATCCGTTTGAAGGAATTCAGAGAACGAAATTTGTAAAGAGGCTGTATAAGGGTTATCAATTGATCCTTGTAATTCCGTGATGAAAATCAGGACATTATGATGGATTTATTTCAAAAGCTTTCGAAGCTGCTAGCAAAGTTTTTGTGAAAATTTTTTTGACATATTTGTAACAAAAAGAATTATAACCGTGTATTAAAAAGACATTTTTTACTTTGAATAATTCCTAGGCCTCCCCTCTCTAATAAGCCCCCTCTCTTTTGAGCTGAAATAAAAGATTAATAGAGCTTTTACGGTACTTCTACCTTGATATTCCAATGAGGCCAACCTGTTTATCCGTTTTTCAAGTCTCCGAGCAGAGACATGCACTGACCAACTTGCCAGGAACAAGAAGTATTTAAAGAGACAAGCTTCGAAAGAGAACAGAACCCATCTTTCTCGCTGACACAGTGAGAAAAACAGACAAACAACGAAGATGGCAGTAGTGAGATTAATAAAAGATGCATCAAAATTGCCTCTCAGTGGGAACAGACAATAAGTTCTATTGCTAGTTCATCTAAGTTCCACAACGAACTTAAACTCTATTTAATAAAAATGCAACTTCTAAAAGTCAGTCGCATTTTTCCCGTACGATGAAACAAATCTAAAGAACTAGAGCCTATCGGGATTAAGGCGGCAACTGTGTTAAAAGCCGCCTATGTATTGCATTTTCTGATACTTCCGTTTTTTAATCACATTGATAGAATTCGACAACATGGCTTCTATATCGTATAGGTGAGAAGTCAGATTTTTCTGCCATTCCCTTGCGTACAATGTCGAGAAATTTATGATTATAATTTTGGTGATTATCATTTGGGGTACATTATGATGATTATTATGGAGATTGCGACTGATGACGATGATGATCACGTGGGTATGAAACCCTAAAGGCCTATACATTTGGTTACAGAATATACGTTTGGTTACAGAATATATTACTATGCATTTTTTCAATTGATGAAATTGGGGATGATGAAGCTGGTGGGTTAATAATCATGATTTGTTATTCCATGATTGTATCTTACTGCTTGTTATCTATAATATAGAAGGCAGCCTTGAAATAAAGTTGAACGATATTTCAAGTCACGTGGCATAAATGATTATGAACCAAGCCATTCTATGAAACAGGTCAGTATAAATTTCGAGGATAACATCGAAACTACATTTGATTACAAATGCTTTAAGCTAGTAAACAAAAATTGATGCTTTATGGCAAAAATAATCGAAGAAAAAGAATTATACACTATCCACATTCGTGGTTTCTAAGTCAATTAGCGTCCATCATGAACAATAAAAAACGTATTTTAGGATAAAATACTTTGAAAGGGGCACCCAATTTAAGACATTGGCAAACTGGTACGGCGGCAGAACTATAGTGGTACTTAAATTCGAGGCTTGAGCGGGACACAAACACGGTGGAAGGGCATCATAAGCAGGAATCAAATGAAGATACAAGAAGAGCAGTTTTGTTTTGAATCAGGTGTTTGAAAAATTTCTCCAAAGCGCTAATCGAATCGATAAGCGATTGGCTTTAACGGAACACACCGAAAAAGAACCCGGATCCAAAACCTAAAAAACATCACGAAAAGATCTTGAGAATTTGTGTATAGCTTATGATATACAAGCAAATTTTCCAATATACTTCTTGATTCACGTAATTAGAGAGGACTTGAACCTGCCGGGGTAAACCTGCCTGTAGTTTGACGGGAAAAAAGTTTTTAATAAAATGGAAAAGGATTATCAACAAGTTAGTTCAAATTGCAATGGACGACGACAAGCTTCAGTTTTCTGATTTATGTAATCTCATTGCTGCTTGTCCCTTTAAAAAGTTGAACCAGAGTGGGGCCACTCGGAATAACGTAATAGGTTTGAGTAGCATAGCCCACCGCCAGTTGCAGCACCGCGCATTTGGCGAGTACGACGTTTTGGATACAGTACGCCACGTAAAAAACAGTTACCTTTCTTCTGATTCCTCTCCTGTTATAGTGTGACATGAGTAAAATTTGGTTATCTATTTAAAAAAACTGCTATAAAGTCAGCGCTGAGTACCAATTAGATTTCTGTTACAGACTGGACAAAGAAATTTTGTCTCTAAAGTCATTTTTAGGGTAAGGATAGGAGTCAAGGGGCGTCGCGGGTGGGCTCATATCATCTCCATCTTGATCCAGTAAAAATGGTTCCGCAGTTTTGCCATTATAACGATGTTCGTTGCAACCACGATGGTCCCAATTAGCCTTTTTTGTATATACCCAGCATTTGTATGCAAGGATAATAACAAGAAGCAGAAGAACAACTGCCACTGATAGAGATATGATGAATTCCAAGAGGAAAATTCTCTCGCTCTTTCCATATTTTCCTAAAAACCAAAAGATGGTTATTCAAAAAGAAAGTAATTTCAAAAAATGAACTCCCTGATCTTAATGCAAAGAACCTACTTTATTTTGGCAAGGCTGAGCCGGGATATCGTTTAAAGAAATCTACACATCTAAAGAGATATGGGAACTAAGACTTCTTATATTTACATTGCAATTTTAAGTTACTGGTGATATCGAAATTCCGTTATGTGAAAGTTTAAAAGACATGAACATGAAAAAATTAAATGTACAGAGAAAAACAAAAAGAAACCCAGAAAAACCTAGAAAAAACTCAGAAAGCGCCAAAAACGCACCATGTCTAGAAAACCCAAAAAACCAAAAAACGCTAGCTATAATATTTGAGTTAAAATAATATCCTCAAATGAAAAACTAAAAAAGAAAATATTTTTTTCATTATTTAATTTCAGAAAATCTAATATTCTTTTTGAAAAAGTGAATTCTCATTCATTCGACTTCAACATAAGTATGGCGCAAAAGGGAGAGAAACAGGGCCACTACCGAAACCCATGTTCAGATTTTGAGGAAAACAAAATCTATGATCAAAAAAGTAGACTACAGAAACTGCCCCTGTTTAAGACCATTTCTAGATAAGCTGATCAGCCAATAAGATCAGCGTATTCTTTGGCAAGGAAAATGGACTGGACCCACCTGATTTTGCAGCCATTGAACCTTCGAGGCCCTTCGTTGTCGCTTCTTGGACTTCACTCGTAGTAATTCTAGTTGATTTTATTCTATTGCTTGTTGAAACTTCAGGGTTTCCTGTTGTTGCTCCATCGCTGCTCCTTTTTGAAACCGACGACTGTTTAGATGAAAGGGGCCCTGGCGTTGTTCTCCTTCTGGTATTGACTACAATCGGGTCAGAAAAAGGGCCACTTCCTTCTTTGGAGAAGACGGCCACTGAAATCATGCACATCATAACATCATGTGTTACAGCTATACTTTTACTCGTGGCCTGTCTTTCCACTGATATCAGCCTGGTTATGGAGCTGATTTGTCTTCTCACTCTTTTTCCACTATATATTTCATGGACTCTTATCTGGAACCCATCAAATTGATCAATAACACTGTTTTTGCTGGTAGGCGGCGACCACGATATTTTTATTTTGTTCGGGGGCTCAAAATTGGCTTTCACATTTGAAACCTTTGAGCTTGGCACTAGAAATAAATATGTTCACAATCTTACATACGAATTAGTTGTTGACACCTGTACACACCAGATAACTAAAGTCCATTTTGCATTTCTTTTGCATGTAAAACGGCGAATTACACTGAACAAGACAAGAAATATGCTTTAAGAGCATTTCCCTTTAAAAGGAAAAAATTCTATGAGGATGGTGAAGTCAAGTAGCAAATGAGGGAGATTTTATAATGTCCCTCATTTCGAGCTTACAGTTGAGATCAATCGATGGGTTTTTTATATTAGCAGCACCAGTCTATAATCCTTTCATACAAAAAGAAAATCAAGATGAGTCAAAATAAATCTTGTACCAACTGAAAGCAGGTGCAATATTTCCCACAAACTTGCAGCGTTATCATCTTCCTTCAAAAACAACAATTCAAGAATTTAGGTAACTTACCTCCTTCCAATGTTGTTATTGTCATTTCTGTTACTCCGCTTCGCAGTTCTTTTCCGTTATATACATTGTAAGCCAATGCCTTGAGGAGGTATACTGACGATGCCGCTAATCCAGAAAGCTGTATAACTTCTTTACCCTTTAATACCAGTTTTGTTTCATTTTCGGTAACTAGTTGGTTCCCAAACTTTGTCCGTTTGTACGAAAAAATGAAGCCATCTATGGGTCCATTTCGCATCGTTTGTGGCGGTGGCTGCAAAATCAAATCAGTTAAAATGAGTTTGCTTTTCAATCAAAACTTAAAATAAAACGTTTTACAACAAAGAAGCAGCCTTGATACACTCAACTTTAGAAACAGAAACAAAAGTGAGTATAAGGTATTTCTTTGTTGCTTCGATTTTAAAGACGATCTCTTGCTTCCGCTAACACAAATGTCACGAATAACATCTGCATTGCAGAGTCTCAAATCAGTTTTATCACAAACAGAAATACATAAGCATAGGCCCAATTATGCAAGAAACTTCACCCCCCACATAGAAGATGCTGTTTATTTAAAAATCAAATAAAAGTCAAGAATTGCCTTTGTCTAACTCTCCTGCCTGTAACGGTCTGAGAAATGAACTGCTAGTAAAACTGAAGAAAAAGTCATAGGCTTAGAGAATAACGACGACCGACTGCAACTAATTTAGAATGGAGGTTGAAAGTAAGGTAAGTATGATAACTACACATGTTTATTCATTACAGATAGTCTTTGACAATATTGGGTCAGCAAAGAAAGCCATTTTTTCTTAAGAGCTATGCGTTTTTAAACATATTAAATACATCGCAGCACGAAGCACTCCTAAGTTTAGATGTGAAAGCCAGAATGTGAAATCACGCACCTTGCAGTGGATGATTGCCATTGTCGCGCCAATCTGCACGAGAGTGAGGTTAGGGGGAATACCCGGTTCTGCAAGAAGAAAAATCCATATTGCCTATGAGATGTTTATGAGACAAGGTCAACAAACAAAAAGTCGACAAGTGATAACTACTTTACTGTAATGAATATCATGAAAAAATTGCTTGGCCGACCGAAGTGCAAAATATGTCAGATGCTATTTCTTTGAAACAAAATTGTTTCCAAAGTTTAAAATGTGCGAGGCTTTGGTTCGGTGTTTAATGGCGGGAAAAGTTTCAAATGTACTGATCTAAAATGATGGATTCCCAAAGACAGTTTCTTTTTATATCACAAATAAAAACAACTCAAAATTAACTACATATTCTGTGTCTGCCGTAACCGGAAAAGACATGATGTCATCGAGCTCCAACTACGACAGCACTTACATTAATATTAACATTAATCTAAATGACAAAAAAGATAAACAACAACTTAACCGGGTGTCTTAGAAGGAACACATCCCCCATCCACATTAATGTTGTTGATACAGACATAGCTATTAGTGGAGCAAGGAAGTAGTTCCTTATAAGACTCCCGGTACAAACATTACAGAGAAAAAAGGAAAATAAAAGAAAAATGATGCTGCTGCCTTGCGATTGAATTTAACCTGAAAATCTATTCGAATTTTTGATAAACAATATTGTTGCAAAGACAGTAATATCCACATTCAATAAAGCTGCAGAAATATTGCAAACATGTCTTTCTCTATTAGCAAAAATTGTGTTAATCAAGCATTAAGAACCTTGAATCGTCGTATCTTCCATCCTCGATTCGATTGAGAACATTTTCAAGTCCTTGGGTTAAGTTAATTGCTTACATTCATCAATGACTTAGCATGCCACATCTGACACAAAATTGGCTTGAAAACTATAATGCCTGCCAAAAGTATTTGGAACATCCAGCAATTTGCGTAGCTTTTATATTTGATCTTTCATTCCTTTCCCGAAAAAAATTACTACTTCCGCCCCCTTCCCCCTAAAACAGTGTTGCTTATTTAGAGAAATATCATAAAAGAAGCGCAAAAGAGAGTGCTTCCTAAAATTAGGCCTTGAAAAAAAGTTTCCAGCCACTGAAATTGATATTTCAAGTTGCTTGATTTGTTTAAAAATTTGTCCTAAAAACAAACTGTAACACTAAAAAGAACTAATTGTTGGTCCTGCAGTCTTTATCACAGCTATTCGAACAGGAATCATTTTGTTTATACTGTTTTAGATGATCAAGGAGAACGTGATCAAGCACGATACTCATAGTTCGTTTTCAAGGTTAAAGAAAGTAGATCTGAAAATCTATAATAACTTTGATTAAATTTCATATCAGTACTAGCAAACTAGATACTTTATAAGTCTTGATATATCTATACATCTTGCTCTGGGTGGGTTTATCATCAAAGCTAGTAGTTCATACAACATGTAAAAATACTATTTTATTTTTCAATGGTTAAAATAAATGTTTTAAATCAGGGGTGGTGCTAGAGGCAAAGATTTAAGACCAAAACGCTTATATTCTATAAAGCAAGTGATGAAAAATATATGCGAATGCCAGTAGAAATGGACATATCCACACAGGTTTTTGGGCATGTTCACCTTCAAAACAATTGACGTAGCAAGATTGGCTGTCTTTGAGTGTTTTTACATATTCAAAATGGCTAATAATGTAAAAAAAAAATGAACTTTGTTTTAGCTCGCTGGAATTAAATTATTAGCTTAAAATCATGCACGGAAATTTGGCATAACAAACGCTTATAATACCAGATAATAGAAAGCTAACCTTCGTTTTCTGTTAGTAGTGCAGAACAGAAATTATACAGTATGTATCTATATCACAGGAAAACAGAATTCCGTAGAAATATTGTAACATGAATTTAATGTTCATATTAAAATCAAGCAATGGAGATTCCACGCTAAAAATTTCCAGACAAACATCAACAGTTTCCTGGAATGAATTTGTCCCAAAAATTTCCTGGCAGCGCCGCTGCCGGACATTTTCCAGCCCTGCCTAAAATCTTAACCCGTTTGATAGTAAACCGACATTGTTCCATGGGGGAGAAGGGGATGATTGATTTTGACTTTGGAAAATGACATCAATGTTCCAAGACTTTTAGCAGACATTGTAGATCTCCCGAGAGTCTTCAATAAATCTTTGGCCAGGTTCAATCAGTCGATTCCTTTGTTCCTTGACCAGTAATCTACAGAACGTGGATTAAATAAGCTGAAAATTTGGTTAATGACATTGTATGGATGTTTCTCTACTTTGCATGTAAATCATTTGCTCAAAATCTCAATCAAGGCAAAACCAAATGTTCAAATAATGTAAACCGTAGGAGTAAAGATTGTGAACATCACCTTTGACAAGGGTAGTGAATTGGACTGTATTGCTCGCAAGCATGCCTTTCACTCCGATGAAAGTGTTTGGTTGTATGACTAACCGTGCCCTCACTCGACGATAAGGCTGCAAACCATTTAGCTTGCAGAATCCTTCATTTAATCGTACCAGCCTTAGCAACTTTTCTCTTTTATTAAACATCAAAAATAAGTAAGATTGGATTGACAACAGATAATTCGGCTTTTCTTTTATCTCCCAAGAAACAGTAGCCTCTGATGCTGTAACATTCTGCACCGACAGAATAATGGATTTGACTGCACCGCCTGCGCAATAAACAACAGACATACAAGCATAAGAAAGCCAAAAGGTCTTAACATCAGGTTTTCAATATTGAAATCTTCACTCTATAGAAATACACCCAAATGTAAATTAATAAATCACTCACGATAAGAGATAAGTGCGTCTGCAATAATATTCATTTTATCAGCTGCATCTTCTCTTTTAAATGACGGAATTTATCAATGAATAAGGAATGAATGAATGAATGAATGAATGAATGAATGAATGAATGAATGAATGAATGAATGAATGAATGAATGAATGAATGTATGTATGAATGAATGAATAAATGAATGAATGAATAAATGAATGTATGTATGAATGTATGAATGAATAAATGAATGAATGAATGAATGATTGAATGAATGAATGAATGAATGAATAAATGATGAATAAATTAATGAATGAATGAACTAGTATTTTGTTCGCAACTCACCTAAATTGTACTGAATCACTGCGACTTCAAATGACTGAGAAGGAAGCTGATGACCAAAGGTGGCCCCGCATGAATACTTAGCAGTGCAAAACACTTGGCCGACGGTTTTGTTAACAAGGCAAGTAAAACGCTCCCGTATGTAGTCTATGCTGTACCGGAAAGTCAATCTGATGCTCCTTCGTGCGAAGAGAACCGTTCTGTTTGCAAGGATACCTGTGCCAACTTCTTCTACCAAGTAGTTGTGGCCTGTCTGCAGCTTTTCAAAAGGTTGATCGCTGTTGGTTTCCAAGAACCACTCGGGTTTTAGCGGCTGATTTCGTTGAAATAGGCCTGAACAGTTAAGCACAGCATTCGTCCTTATATCAGCAATCACTCTTCGATGAGATAATTCTACTCGAGGGATAACGTCTGGCAGTGAAAAAATAGAAATATCACTTTGAAATATTGACTGTAGAAACAGAAACAGAAAAAGCTTATGACAATAGAAATAAAAATAAATGGTATTCTTGAAATTACCAATTCAAGATAAAGTGATCCGAAATATTTTCATATTCTCAAATAGCAGGCTTTATGCCTATACGTTTAAAAACGTTTCCAGAAAAAATTAGCCGCAAATGATGAAAAATTATGACTTGAATAGGAACATTTTTATTAACAGTTGACAAGGTAAACACTAGATAATAGACAGCAACCAGCAATGACTTAAATGAAAGAGAAATTGTCTTAAGTGCGTAATTTAGCGGAAATTGAGGAAGCAGATTTGGAAACAATGAGAACTGTGAGCAGGCAAGCTTTAGGCCACAGTTTTAATGGGAAACATCTTCTTCCGACAAATAATGGTTTGTGTTGAGACAACACGAAAAGAGGAAGAAAGAGTTGGAAAATCAAGATAAGCAGAAGAAGGCGGAGATTGAAGAAGCAGATCAGGAAACATTAAGAACTGTGAGCAGGCAAGGTTGAGGCCACAGTTGAAAATCGGGAAAAGGAAAGCAGGTCGTCCACGTCAACTGATTACTAAACGATGCCCATTAGAGACTGTTGTTTCCCCGTAGGTTCTTGACAAGCCAATGTTATTTTCTGTTTAATTTGAGCTGGCTTTTTCTGTAAACCTGGGAGGGTATGTACCATAAAATGGGAGGGCTATAGTACGGGCTCTATTGTTCGCCATTTTGCATAATGGACAGGAAAGATGGTAGCAATATGTTGGTGTTACATTACGTGTCATTTTCTTAAAGTGTTATCATTATGATTGCGTATTTAGAGTGATCTTGTTCTGTAAAGCAGCTGTTGGGCGCGGTTGTCATTGTTTGTTCAGTGGTGTTCAAGCGTTATAATTGTCCATTTGTTCTGTTCTGTAGTTGTATTGTATGTGGATGCTCCCAGGGGCGTTACATGTGCGTGTGTGGTGATTTGCTCTATTGTTTTGTTGGGTAATTTCAGGAGGGTTGAGAGATGACGCGTTGTAGTGAACATCGTTAAATAACAGCAGTAAAATGGGGTTCTTAACAGATAGTATATTCTTTGAGTCATCGTTTCAAATGTTGAGAAATAAGGTCTCTATAAATTTGTGTGGCAAAGAACCTGTTATTTAAGAACCTGTTACAGTTGACAGTGTGACGGCAGTAGGGCTTCAAATTAGAATGAGAAGCATATTTCAGGCTGTGTTACTCATACGCAAAGCAAAACTTGTTTCAAATACTCCACCCTAAGCGGCACGGGCTTTCGCAGTTCAAATTCGGTGTTTCATTCATTTTTAATAACTTTAGCAAAGCAGACCCGTCAGTTCCTGAGAATTGTTTTTCAATAGGTCGTGGCAGATCTACAATTCAATAACGGCAACCAATTAAAATAGAAGCTCATAAGATAGTTTTTATTGATCCTCTTTTTGAAGGAGGTCATGGAGAGTGCTCCTTTATCATAAAATTCCAGAGTATTCCATAGCTAAGGTCGACGACAATATATAGCCTTTTGCCTATTAATAGTTTTCTGTAAGGATGACGGGAGGTCATGTTGTATTGATCAGTTCTCTGACCTTTCAAGTAGAATTTTGTCAAACAAGTCGGAAAGATACACTTGGAGAAGACCATTAATGACTTGTCATCACGGCAGCATTTCCATTTTAAATGATATCATTCACAGTTGGCCAATTAGTGGAGCAGCTAATGGCAAAATTTAGCCAAATCGTTCACTTTGTGATACAAGCATGAATTTTGGCAAAAACAAAGTTCACAGTATTTGCTACACTTCTAGTCGATGAGCCAAATGATTTTTTATTTTAACGCCATTTGCAATGGCAGCACTGGTAGAAATTTGTTGCCCTTCGATATTTATTGACGAAATGCCAGTGGTTTCAGTTTTCTTGCTTAAACCTTTGTTGACACCCTTCCCTGTATTATTAAGGTTTTCTTTGCAGAAAGAAACTTTTTGAGTGAAGTTCTCTCGTTTTATTCCTCATTTAGTTTTTTAACTCGATTATGTACATATCTATAGGACTGGATCACTAGCTGGCTTTTGAGCCAAATGCTTGTTTTTTAATGTATCGCTGGCTTTGTATGTTTGTTTGCATCCATTAGGCACCCAACGACAGGATTTATTTACAAACTAAGTTTGACCAAAGTACTTCATTTTCATGGTAGAAATATTCTTATGTAGTTTTATGCAAGCACCACGAAATTTCTCAATACTAAAGACCAAATAATGGTCACTGAAGTAAGATTTATGAATCTCCGAACATGTCTTTTCAAACATTCCAAACAATCGATATCTTAACCAAGAATGCAAGATTCCATGATTCTGGATATCTTTCTTTGGAATCCTACGATTCTTGCAGGCCCCGGCAGTCTCAATCAGTCGGTTCAATGTATATCATGTTCCTAAAAGTAGAAAGTGGATCCTAATCTATGATTCAGGGTTGGGAAAATTTACCCTCTTCTTTGACTTTGCCAAAAAATTTTAACCCTTTTCACTGAGAATATTCAAGCTTGGGCAGGTTTTTTTAAATAATTCATGGAGCATTCTGTTGCTTAAACTTATCTCTAAAGGCATATTAAAAACAGAGTTCACTAATTCTGATTCTACAACAGTCCCTCACGGTTCTTGATACATATTAATAAAATCAGACAGCTGTAAAACTAAAACTGCAACATATTGCTTACTTCCCAACATTGTATTCAATGTGTTTTAAGAAAGATGAAAAAGTTGTGTCTCTGCTATGAGTACAAACTAGACAAGACTTAAAGAAATACTTAAATTACTTATCTAGGATTAGAACAATAGACAATACTAAATGCTATTGCAAAATTTGTTGCACTTCGATAGCCAGTGATTTACCAAATAAATTACTAGTACATCACATCAGTAAATTGATACCCTTTTTGTGGTTCATTTGACTGAGTAAAATAGCTACCCTATTTTCAAGATGTCCCAGAATTCTAGCTTTCAGACCAACCTTTCTCAAAAATCTTTTGGGTATCACATGATATACTTTTGATTGAGCCCACTGGGTTGCAGACAAATCAGGATACAGCTGTTTGCCACTAAACCATCTAATGATTGATTTTTTGTTTCACTCTACGATTGAATTGGACATCTCTGCGACAAGAAACTGGCGACAACCAGATCTAGTTATGGTTGATTACAACAGCAGAGATTGCTACGAGACTTCTACTTCCGTGTTGTGTGTGTGTGTGTGTGTTCACCACCTTATTGGTACCATGTTGGCCACCCCTATTCCTGAACCGGCTCAACAGCAATTGAAACTTGATTTCTACACGCAATAAGCGCTCGCTACGGAGATTCCTAGCTGCAAGTTAAAATTCAGTGATGTTACCACTGATTGTTTGAAGAGACGTTACCAGAAGCATAAAACAAGAAATAGACTCATACCTCGGTCACACCCAAGGACGGCAACCCGCATACAAGCATAGTTCTGACCCGGCGACGCTACAGGATGAAGCCGGACAAACCTCGCTTTCACGTGTTGTTCGAAAAAGTTCTTTGATTTGCGCAAAGGGTCTGGGCTCCCGTGAAATAACTACAAAAGAAAAACAACGTCGATCAAAATAAAAATTGTAGCAAGTATGAGGAGCTGTAAGTAATATAAAACCTAAATGTTGTTTAATTTTTGGTCCAACTTGTAGCTGCATTCATTTCATATTTATCCATGTTATTCATCGATTTCTAGAAGTAGCAAATTGATGAAGAAATTTTTGCGAATAAATCTTCAGGGAAAAAAGGGGAAAGTCTCCATCAAGTATCCAAAAAAAATTAAAACATTGAAAGAGATATAAACATAAACATAACATCTCGTCAACCATCTACTTAATTTTCGAAAAGATTTAAATGATGACACTTGATAAACCAAGGCTAATAAAATTGTATTTCCACAACCTTATCTGCGATGGTAAGGCAGCTGAGAATAATTTATTTTCCTAATAAGGAAAACTATTTTTTCAAACTGTTGCTCGGTTTTTAATCCATATTAAGCGGGTATTTTTTCGGCAATTTATATTACTTCTTTTTGGACAGATATATGGGATCTTTGTTCAACCTTTGACCCAGTCTATCATTGCCCCTTTGAGTAAAGAGGGTTCCCTGCAAAGTCGAGTAAGAGGGAGTTGGGTAAAAAAAACTACAAAAATCTCCTGCATCAATTTTGGCTTGAATTCAATATGAAAGAAACTTGAAGGTCACCCTTGAAAACATTTAGAAGAGGAGGTTGAATCAACAGGGAACCACAAGAAATCAATTTAGAGGAAGTACAAACAGATATCTATATCAGAACACCAATTTCCCCATGAAAAAAGATTACAAATATGAGCCTGTGTGTAATCCTTTGAAATATGTAGGCGAAGGATGTCTACACCAATTTCTGATTGGATTCAAAATAAAGATAATGGCTTTAAGATTACTCTTCAGAGTGTTTAGTTTTACTAGCTTCGAATCAACCAAATGGCATCAATCTACACAGTGGCGGGGTGGCTATGTTTTCCCTGGGGTGGCCAAGTCGATTTTTGCGCCCTATCTATATATCGTCACAGAATATCGTGGTTATATAAAGCATGTGTTTCTAGAAGGGAAATCGATTTTTGCAATTTGAATCCAAAATTTCATGAATAAGGTTTGACTAAAAATGCGAATATGAATGGAAAAGTTATGTAATCCTAACATTTGACCTTCCCGTGGTTCGGTAAAATATCAAGCCATTTTGAACTGGCGTATTTTCGAGAGTCGGCCTATTTTTATTCAATTACACTGATGTTTCATACAGGCTACTCGTTTATTATATCCAGAATACCAGCTTCAGATTAAAATAACGTAGGGCAAATTATTGTTTCGGGCTCCTTAGTCTTTTTAACTAAAGGTAACCTTTGTCCATTTCGCCACTGCTTATGGTCGATTATATATCAGCCTAGTATCATCGCATATATGATGTATGATATACAAACATCGTTCAAGTTTGTTATTCTTTAGTAGTTATTAAATAGTAGTTTTTCAACAACTTGAAAGTTTCAAGCATTGAATCGCACTATTGAATCGGACAGAGGCGGGGGGCACAAAATTGAATCTGGGGTTGGGCTAAGGATAAAGTTTAGTACCAAAGGAGGACCCACCATGGTTGGGTGCGACGTGGAAGAAAATTTTTGAAATCAAGCCTTCTAGAATGGCTAAAAATGCATCTCACAGAATAAAGTTTAACAAATTATTACACCGCTCAGAATAGACAGTTCGACGATGCTCAGAAAAAACATTGATTTTTGATTTTTAGAAAAAAGTTTGGAGGGGAGGATTCATGCGTTGGATAAAGAAAGAAAGGGTGATGGTTACATCGATGTTAATAACAAGAAGCTGCTATATTGATTGCCAGGGTGCATTCCATGTACTTGGGTTAATAGAAAACATTTTTGGCATACGCAAAATCTTCGTTAGTTGGAGTGCTAAACATGAAGTCACGTACATAGTTAACACGAAAACATATGAAACAAATGTTGATTGGGTCATGGCAGCGCAACGTGCTTCGATTGTAGAATCTCACGTTATTTTAGATTGTTCACAGAAAGTTATAGCGAAGTGTTCTACCCATGTACGATCATTTTTGATGTTCCTAGCCAAATATTACAAGCGAACAATTTTGGCGCCCCCTTATCTCCATTTGCGCCCCTATTCAGGGGGGCCATGGCCCCCCTGGCCCCCCCTGCCACCCACCACTGAATCTACAAAAACTTTATGACAAATAGCGTCATTCTATGAGAGTCGCTAGGAAGGGGGAACATTTCCCGTCACGTGACTTTTTTTCATAGTTAAATTGCCTGGATAATTTCAGCCATTAACACCACCTTAGCCACTAACAAATGAAACATACCTTGTTTTTCCCTGCCTCGGTGTAATTGTAATACGTCTGGTTGTCCGAACTGAATTGAATGGTGAAGTTGGCAAACCCAGGCTGGGTAGCAACGGGGTATCCAAGGCTTATTATTGTCGAAATTGTGCGCACCTTTCCAAGATCTAGCGTGGCCCATTGGTTTGGCCATCCTTTTTTGCTGCACCAAGCACTCTGAGTGTTGTTTATAAATATATTGTGACTCCTGAGGGTCCAGATTAAACGAGAGTCTTGAGGCGACCAAACGTTAACTATTCGAAGGCTCGTGAGGCATTCAGCCTCTGCAAAGAGAAAAATAACGTTGAACCCCCATTAAAATGTCATTCTACAAATGCAGTCATTTGCTTCATTTGTTTTCTTGTTATTGTACTTGCTACTTCATAAGGGATAAATTACCAAAATTTGTGACTGTTTGTGTCCGCTACCTTGCGTGCACAGCTGAAACATCCGAATGTGGTTTGCGACCTCGACTATACAGTATTTTATTTTTGATGACATTGTTAATAACATCCTGACCCTTCCTCTCTTCAATATGTTAATATGTCAATTGTTTCTAGTTATTTTTTCTCGGTATTCCGAATAAGAACTCTCTCAAATTGCTCAACGCTGTTACCTCAAAATCCCTTAGAAAATCATGCAAAAGCCCACACTTCATAGTGCTCTATAATAATTATAAGATACAAAACACAAGGCACTACAAAAGAATTATTTGAAAAAAATTACCGAAAAAGGTCGGTTCATTATGGATTGGCTAGAGCATTGTCCTAACAAATCAAATAAAGAAACTTATATACACAGTTTGCTTAAGCCGCTACTTGTGTTCGAGTGGCCAGTTGAATAAGGGCGTTCGGAGACACCCTGTAAGGTAACGATTCTTGACATACCGCAGTTTTCCTCGTCTTCCAGGCCCAGGCAATCGTTGATGCCATCACAAACAGAACTCCTTGGAATGCAGCTGCCTCGATCATTACATCTAAATTCAGTGCATGCTTCGACTGCAAGGAATATAAAATGAATTAGGAACCCTCTTGTTGGTACAAATTATTATTCACAGTTTCAATAATGGTCCCCTTAGAAGTTTGCGGTTGAAAGAAATTCAGAAATGATGAGCTTAAACAATTCTCGACTTGGGTGGAAATTTTGTTTTGCATTGTTCACCTTTTGCATGAAAGTTTTAATGGATTTTATATTTGTGGGTAAGCTGTTCAAAAATTAAGGGTTAAGTGTTTTGCCCTGAGTTATTTTTACAAAGAGGTAGACACAGCTTGTCTTTCACTCATTTTTAGAAAGAGGTAGACACAGCTTGTCTTTCACTCATTTTTAGAAAGAGGTAGACACAGCTTCTCTTTCACTCATTTTTAGAAAGAGGTAGACACAGCTTGTCTTTCACTCATTTTTAGAAAGAGGTAGACACAGCTTCTCTTTCACTCATTTTTAGAAAGAGGTAGACACAGCTCGTCTTTCACTCATTTTGTTGACTGCTACTGTTGTGTAATGTTACCTATGTCCGATAAACACGATGGTGAACAGTCCTTGAAGAATTTAAAAACATTGACAGAAATGCTTTATTCGCATCTTTCGCTCATAGGAAGACTTGCCTTGAAATATTTCATTTGATTCATACAAAAACACCTATTTTGTGTTGTTTACATTTTCTTTGAAATGAGCATGTGTAATTAAAGTGCGGCAAGGCAAGGGCACTTGAAAGCAATCTTTCAGGATTGTATATAAGGAAATTACGTTTTCTATATAGAGAATGGACCAGGCAATTACTTTGGCTAGTATTTTCGTTGGCATTGCTTTTCCAGTAAACTTTTTATTCAGTATACAAACAAGGTACCCGTAGTGAGGATTCTATTAATAGTTATAAGTTTGTTGGCGTTATTTTTTGAGCAAAATGAATACTTAGCTTATTTCCTAGGAAAAAGAGTTGAAGTCAGTCATAAAGAAAGTTTCAAGGAATCGATAGGATGCGAAACCATTTATGACCGCATTGAAAGGAAAGGGTTTCAATAGCTGTCCCCCACGTCATGATAGGCGTTGCAGCCCCCCATGTCATCATAGGCGTTGGAGCCCCCCCCCCCCTTTGTCATGAAAGGCATTGCAGTTCAATTTGGTCATTTTCTTGCCGTGCAATGACGTTATTCACCATTCGAAACAAAAAGTTCAAATAACAAATTGCTTTAAAGGGCGCCCTTTGACAGACGCTGAATAGTCATCAAGTGAATAAAGTAACGATTCGTTTTAATTTGAAAATAATCTGTCATCTACCCTCATCAAATAAAAAGCATTTTCGTTCATTTTCGTGATAAAAAGGTTGAGAGTTGTATTACAAAACAAACATAAAATGTATTAATAAAAGAAAAAAGGTTGAAAATAAAACAAATTTCTAACCACTGGATGGTAAATTGTCTATGGCATTGCAGTTCTGCCCAGTACAACAGCAGTATCGCAAATCTGAATGACGAATGCTCTCAGTGCATTCTTCTTGCTGATAACACTTGCTCCAGCAGCCCTGCATCAAAATTTTCTTTGTCCCATTAATTTCTCGCCATACTGCAACACAGCTATCGCAGACTCTTGATGATGTGCAATTTCCGGTTTCGCTACAATTCTTTGGGTTAAAGTGCTGGCATATAACCTTTCTTTCTAAAACAAAAAAGGCTAGTCAGCAACAGTCGCTGTCTATACCGATAATGAAATAATCCATATAAATGTTCTGATTGATATGATTCATATGATTTACTTCCTATTTATGACTTGATTTGATTGACATGCTTGGTATGATGAGTGTGATTCATACGACTTACTTGCTATATATGACTTGATTTGATTTGATTGACATGCTTGGTATGATGAGTGTGATTCATACGACGCACTTGCTATATATGACTTGATTTGATTTGATTGACATGCTTGGTATGATGAGTGTGATTTATACGACTCACTTGCTATATATGACCTGATTTGATTTGATTGACATGCTTGGTATGATGAGTGTGATTCATACGACTTACTTGCTATATATGACTTGATTTGATTTGATTGACATGCTTGGTATGACGAATGTGATTCATATGACTTACTTGCTATATATGACTTGATTTGATTTGATTGACATGCTTGGTATGACGAGTGTGATTCATACGACTTACTTGCTATATATGACTTGATTTGATTTGATTGACATGCTTGGTATGATGAGTGTGATTCATATGACTTACTTCCTATTTATGACTTGATTTGATTTGATTGACATGCTTGGTATGATGAGTGTGATTTATACGACTCACTTGCTATATATGACTTGATTTGATTTGATTGACATGCTTGGTATGATGAGTGTGATTCATACAACTTACTTGCTATATATGACTTGATTTGATTTGATTTGATTTGATTTGATTTGATTTGATTTGATTTGATTTGATTTGATTTGATTTGATTTGATTGACATGCTTGGTATGGTTGATGTGACTGCTTTGATTTGTTTGATCGATGTGCTTAGTTTAGTTGATGAAATAAATACGACTAATATGATTAATGTGGCTGATATCATTCACATGATGTATATTAACTCATTTCATTAATATGCTTGATATGACATAATAGAGTATGATTTATATATTAGCGATATATGAGTTTGTATACATTAAGAAACCATTCAGCTATACAAAATGCATATTACTTTGTCTATCACCACAAATAATGCAAATACTGCAATACAATAAATGATAAGAATCGACAATAAGATTTTCAAAAATGAAGCCCTGAATGCCGTTGGGTAAAAAATTTCCAGAAGAACTTTGGGGCCGGATCTTACAAAAGATATTAATTTTACCTAGCAAAGCTTCCAGATTTCATAGCCATAGTTTCAATGCCTTCGGATTCGGCTAGCTTTAGTTATCTTATCTTATCTTATCTTATCTTATCTTATCTTATCTTATCTTATCTTATCTTATCTTATCTTATCTTATCTTATCTTATCTTATTTTATTTTATCTTATCTTATCTTATCTTATCTTATCTTATCTTATCTTATCTTGCCTTATCTTTTCTTATCTATCTTATATTATCTTATCTTATCCTATCTTATCTTATCTTATCTTCATCTTATCTTATATTCCTTTATGTTAAAAAAACTGTAACAAATTCTCAGACTTGAGTAGCACCATAGCAACACAGTATTTTCATTCAAATCGTTTCATCATGTGTATTCGCAGTGGTTCTAACCTCAAACTCTAAAGTTTAATTAAGTATGTTCATTGAAATGGAATTGACTGAACATTTTAGCAAGCACTAGATTTAGTGGAATTTCAATAACAGAGTCACTGAACAGCAAAGATTAAAAAATTTGATACAAATTGAAGTTAGACTCGCGAAAATGGCATCTAAAGTACAAAAAGCGTAAAACAACAAATTCGTCAAATTGCAGTTTATCTAACAGCAATGACCGAATTGATAAACTTATTAGCACAATTCATCGAGCATTGGCGATCTGTTAATGGAAATGTTTCGTTGGCTTCCTTTCCTTCCGTACAGTTTCACTTGAACATTCTTTGGTTACAAAATTATCATTGTGGTCCTTGCAATTCACCACAATCGTTTGGATACATTCCAGACTGAAATCTATTTTCTGCAATGTAACTGCGATGTGTGTTCGTGACAATTATTTAATTTTGCGGTCTTCAACCGGTGAAGACTAATTCCCGCTGTACGTATGAGCCACTTAGTGTGGTTAAAAACAATGCTAATGGATCTGCCCTATATTCATTCATATCTGTCTTCTTACTTTGATTGAAAGTCTGTACATTAATCACAGAAATCACGATTTCTCAAGGCCATTTCTTAATAGAAATTTGAGCCAATTTTTCTCCATAGAAGATGCTTGAAAACTTCCTTATCATTCAAGCAATCGTTATCAAGAACAAGTGAGAATAGCTTAGGATGAGAACAGTCATTTCTGATATGAGGTACTTGCCTGAAACAGGACAGTTCATTTCATCACTGACATCTAAGCAATCTGCAATGCCGTTGCAAAGTGATTCATTTTTTATGCAATGGTCTGAGTAATTGAGTCCCTTGGTAACAACGGTCCCCGGGCACAAATGGTGACCTTTTGGGCAACTACTTCTGGAGCCTTGAAAAAGGAAAAGAATTTCGTGAAACATGAAGCTCAATGAAATCGCTAACGGTTGAGTAGGAAAACGGAGATTAAAACAAAACGAATAAGAAATTACAAATTGCCTTGAAGGTGATTAAAACAAACCTAACTCAGATAACACTATGCCCTGGGTCGTAGATCACACTCTACGACAGGACACTCTATTATACGACGCACACTTATTCTACGAGACAGACATATTCTACGACGTAGGCTGAAAACAGTACATGAAAATGAAAACTCGCATTAACCCACAATGATGAAAATGAACGATGATGAAAAATTATTAAAATAGATCATAACGAACTCTCGTTAAAACAATGTATATTGAAAAATGAAAAGAAAACAGAACAATAGAAATCATAAAATTCAGAACAATAGAAGAACCACCTAACTTGAACGAGGAAAAACATCAAAACTATAGCAGGATGACCTGACTTGAACAAAGGAAAACATCAAAACGATGAGAAGTGATCTGACTTCAACGAAGAAAAACATCAAAACGATAGGAGGATGACCGGACTTGAACAAAGAAAAACATCACAACGATGAAAGGATGACCTGACTTGAACAAAGAAAAACATCACAACGATGAGAGGATGACCTGACCTCAACGCAGAAAAACATCAAAACGATAGGAGGATGACCTGACTTGAACCAAGAAAAACATCACAACGATGAGAGGATGACTTGACCTCAACGCAGAAAAATATCAAAATGATAGGAGGATGACCTGACTTGAACCAAAACGACAGGAAGATGACCTGACTTGAACGAAAAAAAACGTCAAAACGATGAGAGGATGACCTGACTTGAACGAAAAAAACATCAAAACGATGAGAGGATGACCTGACTTGAACGAAAAAAAACATCAAAACGATAGGAGGATGACCTGACTTGAACGAAGAAAAACATCAAAACGAT